ATTCCCAATGGGAGTGATTTCCAATGGCATTTATATTTTTGGTTCTCATTTGGTATAGAGTATGATCCAGGCAATTATGATGGTCTCAAGGCGCAATTTCACTTCGATGTGGATGCAGTTTGGTGTTATTTGTTATTGAATAGCGAACACACATTTCTATTGAAAAATTTTCAATATATTCTACATTTGATGTAGTCCCAATAATGGTACCTGGCCATTTATTGTATAGGGAAAAAATGTTCAAAATATGCCAATATTTGTTGACTAGCCTTCGTATTTTTAATTTAATTTCATCCTTATTTACTCTTTAATTGAAGCCAAATTACAATTTAATTGCCTATTTATATATAATTACAAAGAATCCACCTTAAATCGTATCTACTATAAAACAAATTTTTTTAAATATAATAAGTTAGATATTTCAAACATGTTTATAGGTCCTTGGTTAAATATATAGCGCACATACAAAGGCAACGCGTCAGTATATCGGTAGACCTAGACCGGAGGATAAAAAACCTCCAAACCCCAGTAATTTCATATGTCATAGCCCCAATAGGGTAAACGCACATAATTCCGGCTTGTACCAATAGTCGGAATTTGTTTCATATAACTTCAAATAACTAAATATGAAAAATACCTTGAATAATCTTCAATAACACTGCAGCATATCTCTGTATAAAATGTAATCGAGCTAAGTACATATATTCAATAAAAATTTGGCATTTGGCCTATGAGGTTTGTCAACACTAGCCATAATGCATGTTTCTTAAGAAAAAAATAGTGGGCATGTCGATTTCAAAAGACTTCTTTATTTTTTCACAAGGACCTTCTTCGTAATTTAAAAAGAACATAGAGGAGAATACATTAGAATTTAAAATGATTAAGAAATATTTGAAATTATGATTTTTTATCGATGCCGCCCTTAGGAACAAAAATTTTTAAGGTTTTCCTATAGTTGGCATATGGGTGAATAATAAGCACCTTTGCGATCATTTTGGCTCAAATTTGAAAAAAGTGTCCTAAATAACGATTAATTTATAAAATAATCCGTTTTGAGTGGTTTCACATAATGGAAAACTTGGTTTTAATCTTAAATTCTTTTAACCTTTGAAATGCATGCTCTATTTATTTAGAATTGGATAAAGAGTTACCGAAGTCGGGAATACTGATTGTAAAGTCCAATAATAATAATTTATTAATAAAAATTACAGAAAAATTTATTAAATAAATAATTTTTGTTTAACTAAAATACGACATGACCACTATTGGCACAAATGCACTATTTTACCTAATATTCAATTTAATCTAATTTAATACAAATTAATTAAATAAATTTGTATTGCATCGGGAAAAAAATTTCGAAACATATAAACCAAAATATAATGTAGTGAAAAAATGCTCTAGGGATGGTGAAACGTTTAAAATGCGAAAATCCTTAAAGTGCCGTCTATTGGTGCATTTAACCTATATAACAAGAAAATATTCATGATCCATGACTAGCTTCCCAAAGGGAAATGTTTATGACGCCAAGTAACAATTTTAATTTGAAGACAACACTATTTCTACCTCTGTCTTTTAAGGTACAGTTTACCTCGCTAATCGTTAAACATCATCTATATTTCATTTTAACATTCAACAACACAACGACTTGGCCAACATTTTGTTGAACACTATTAAAATTATTTATTTTTTATTCATTATTACATATAAATATATTTTTGTAGACTCTTCGTTAAAAAGATCATTGAAAGTCAACATTTCTTCAGAAATTAGTATTATCCTTTAAACTCTCTTAAATATTTAAGATATAAATCTACTTCATGTTGCGATTCCAAGAAAATAATTTAGGGGTTAGGCGTTTAGAAAACAAATATGTCGCTCAGCTGCCTGTCTGCCTACACGACAAAATACAGTAATTTAATTGTTGTGCTAACAAGGATAAAATATTTCTAATGATTTCACTCAATAGATGTCAATTATACGATTTGAAATATACCTATTAGAATTGCTTAGTTCAGTTTGTAAGTAATTGGGAGGGGGTACAACACTCGCTCTACCTACTCGGAGACATTTATGGGCATGCATACCCTTGTTCTTCATTTTTTGCGGATTTGTATTCTATTCTAATTCTATCCTCAGACAACAATCGAAAAACGAAAAAAGAGGGTTGATTTTGATTTCAACTGCGCTAAACTGGGTATTGTGATGTGAGTGAATTCTTGTTGGGTTGGCAGTTAGTCTACCTTCTCTGTTTGCGGATATCACAAATCCCTTTATTGTTGAACAAAACTGAATCTTTAAGAAATGGTGGAAACATTTCCTTTTTTCTTTCAAGCAACCCCCCTTATGTGTGCCATTGACCTTAAACAATGCTTAAAGTTTCAATTACTTTTTTTTTTTGATTTCAGAAGGGCAAACATTCCACTCAAGTATTTTTAATGATCAAATGTAGTGATTTGTGTCTTATCAAAATTGTCACAATAACCTAGACAAACTGCTGCGACTGGCTGGCATAGCCTCAGTCCAATATGTAACAGTAGCAGAACACAGATTCACCAAGAAAGTAATCCCTACAATTTATTTCTGGATGATCAATACAAATATGTCCCATGACTTTAATTTTTCACTGAAAGTTCATCAGAAAAATCTTAATTATTACATTTAAAAATGCTTAAAGAGCTTTTTTTAGAAATATTCTTAGGTTTAGGTTAGGCGAAAGGATGCGCAGTTGCAGTGCTCCATTTTGTAAATGTATAATGTGAGAGAAATAGAGTTTTGAGGTTACGTTTGTAAACTCAACCATGACAATTTTTGAACTATACTGTAAATAATGTAAAAAATACATTTCGTGGTAAAGATCATTGTCTCATCTCATTCCTTCCAAACAATCGAAAGACTCCTGTAGAAAAATATCCTTAAGGTTTAGGTTATGTTTAAGGTAACTGTATGTAGGCAACTGTACATTGCCTATAAATATTTAACGCTACTTCCATTTTTGGTGACCACTGACCATTGTGTTTATTTTTAAAAATATAAACGACGAAATGTAAGAGCCAGACTTTTATAAAGATCAGCGAATTATTATATGACTAAACTCCACCTTATGGGGAAGGGTATATGAAATGTTTTAATCAATTTTATTTTTAATCAAAAATAAAATTCGGTGCCGATGAAGCGATGTCCGCCATCTTTAGAAATCACAATTAAGCTCACAATATTTGAGGTAGAACATTGTTACTACTCCTGGGACAATTTGATATATCCACTGTATAGCTTTACCTTTGGGCATGGATGTACCTTGAACGAACCAGGTGTGACATGGACAAACGCGTAAAACTAAGCGACTATATATCACCAGTCCTGAGATTTGACGATGTAGATGTCGTTATTCCTAGTAGCGACGACTGGAACCAGAGTAACCATCCTCTGGACGGTCTGGCTTTCTATACAGACGGATCCAAGGTGGAAGAAGGTACAGGGGCTAGCGTCTACTGTGAAAGCCTAGGCTTTGAGATTACCTACAAGCTGCTGTAGTGTTTCCACGCTGAAATCTTCGCGATTTGGAAGGCAGCGGAATTGATAAATAGTCTGGATGCAAAGATGGTTTGAAACGGTGACAATTTTTGTGGATAGTCAAGCGGCTCTTAAAGCCATCAAATCCTGTTACATCAAATCTGAGGCCGTCCTCAAATGTAGAATAGTTTTGGAAGAACTTGCTTACAGCTCTCGGCTGTGTTGGGCACCAGGACAACTGTGATCTCATTGACGAATTAGCTAGACTAGGATCTCAATCTACAGATCTAGCAATTGATGGCTGAATCATACCACTGATATGTCATCATTATCGGAACTTTGAGGCGTTCTTGAACGAAATAGCCTATGAACTTTGGCACAAGGAACCTAGGTGCAATGTTTCAGGATCTATTTGGCCGACTCTATCTACCAAAAGGACACACCCACTGTTGAACCTGAGCAAAGCTGATATAAGTGTAATGACAGGAATCATTACTGGTCAGTGCAATATCAGGGCCTTTACCGGTAAATGGGACCATTATGTTGCTGATTACTGTAGTTTATTCGTTTAAAAACCACATTATATTACCTATAAAAATAGTTTTCAAAATCCACATCCTGTTGATCCTTCAAAAAATATATATTCATTAGAAATTGTAGACCTTGTTGAATGTTGCTTAGACTGACGATCCCTTCAAAATTATTCCATCTCTCCTACGAATAAATATAATATTGATACATTTATTTTTTTAAATGGCGTTTCCCAAAATTTCCCGCCAAAATGGCAGATTGGGTAGTTAGGTAGACGAGACATATGTGTCATCAAACAAAGAAAATATGTTTTGTTTTTCCTTCCTCCTCTAAGAAAACATCTGGCGGGGAGAAATGGCCAAGAAGTTACCATTTTCTAAGGTAAATTAAAGTGATGTGTGGTAATCACCTTTTTCATCTTATAGCGCCCTTAGGTAGAGTGTATTTTCGGGAAAAATTAAAACAATAGCGCGCGCCCATTGTATAATCTCATACTCTCGCTCTTGTCTACCAAAACCAAAAAAGGTACAGCTGCAAAGTTAAACCAAAAACAACAAGGTGGCATTTTTTGATATCTATTCATTATACTGCTTACTTACTATGTGTGTACAGCAACTACGATGTTGTTGTTGTTGTAGGTAGTAATAATATATCACCCTCTCTTTCTAACCTGTTGGTGGATATATGGCTGGAGTAGATGTTCTTCGTGGTAGTAGGCAAAATTTTGGAAATTGGTAAAAATTCAAGTAACCATTGCATCAATTGGAGACAATCATCAGTTAGCTACAAGCATTCTAAGAGAACGTTACACGAGACATTTAGTTATTTTGTAAAGATTTAAATTAAAATTGTTTGTTAAATTTTATTCTTTAATTTATACTCTAAATGTAAGCTTTAAAAAAAAATATTTTTTGTTTTGAATTTTTAATACAATCTTTTTTTCTTCTTCTTGTTTTTGCAGTAATCTAAATTAGAGCAAAATGGCCCGTACCAAGCAGACAGCCCGTAAATCTACCGGTGGTAAAGCACCCCGTAAACAATTGGCCACCAAAGCCGCCCGTAAATCGGCCCCATCTACCGGTGGTGTCAAGAAGCCCCATCGTTATCGTCCCGGTACCGTAGCCTTGCGTGAAATTCGTCGCTACCAGAAATCCACTGAATTGCTTATCCGCAAATTGCCGTTCCAACGTTTGGTACGTGAAATTGCCCAGGATTTCAAGACCGATTTGCGTTTCCAATCGGCTGCCATTGGTGCCCTTCAGGTTAGTACTACACATGTTGGATTTTTAAATTTACTATTCCATTTAAATATATTTTTTAACATATTTAAGCGTAGCATAATAAGCAGTGATTGAAGTTTGTTGTGAAGAGCGTAAATGGAATTTATATTGATTTATGTCTGCTTATCAGATAAGGGTGGTTTTTAGTGACAAAATCCAATGTCTGCCAATTTCGGGGTTTTTGCTTTATTGAGATTTCTAAATAAAGAAACCTTAATTGTACCTTAGGCAGGGAAATTTTGGAATTGTTTGTCGGAATAGGTTTATATATCCTTATATATAAGTTGATTTGATATTACAACAGTAAATACTTCATCAAAAGCTATATGAAAAGAACATTTTAATACTCATGGTTTTTGAACTGCTACGACTTCCTGATTGATAATTAATCTTGAAATTGAAATGTCCCAGAAAAAAATTTAAATATCAATCCATTATAAACCCGACAGTATATTAGAAATTATTGATAAAAAAATCTTGAAAACCCCACGGAAATTGTATCTCTGATAGACCAAAAAACTTTAGAAAATCTACAAATGCTCATACAAAAGAAGGTCTCAAAAATGAACTACCATACCAGGCTTAGAGATCAACATAACAGAATCCTCTACCTATGGTCACTCAATAGATGTCTATAATTTTAGGATTAGACCCTTAAAATATTGCAAGAATATTTTCCTAAAAACCACGATAAAATTGCTCTTCAAGGAAGGATTTAAAAAAATCCACACTCTTGTGGTTGACTTTCAGAAAATATTTTCCCTCAGACAGTCCAAAAATATGTTTTTAATTACTCTTCATTTTGATTTGCTAGTACTTCACTTTTTTTATTCGAAAAATATTTTTAATAAATCCTATTAATAAATCCTTTAAAAGTATTACTCTTTGATATTAGTCTTTCAAGGAAGGAGTATTTTTAATTAATTTCTTTACATTCAAAACTAAAAAAAAATCTCCCTCTTAATTCTTAATTGGATCCAGGTTGTAGTAGAAGAATTATTAAAAATAACGCTCTGTTACTATTTAAAACTTGGAAAATTAAAGAATTATTAAGCAACTAGTTTTTTAAAAATTATTCTCTAAAAAACTACTCCTACAAAAACTAAAAAAAAATCCGCCATTAACGCCGCTATAATGGTCCTTTAGATAATATTCGTTTAAAAAATCCATGTCCTTTAGAAACTTTTTATTGACAAAAATTTAGCTTTACTCTATTATCTGCTCTGTTAGTTTCCTATTTTTTATCTACTTTTACTTCTTATCGCAATATTTACTAATTTGTCCTTCTTTTTATGTTCACATTACAGGAAGCATCTGAAGCCTATTTGGTCGGTTTGTTTGAAGACACCAACTTGTGCGCTATCCATGCCAAGCGTGTAACCATTATGCCTAAGGACATCCAATTGGCTCGCCGTATTCGTGGTGAACGTGCTTAAGCATCTTTAGCAATAACATCAGCTAATTATAATCATAATAATATTAATAGTAAAGACAGTAACAACAACAGCAAAAATGTCTACATTATTTTATTGAAAAAATATCAATGTGCTTGCAACAAACTCTGTTGCAGCAGCATAAACAACAAAAACAAAATTTACATTTCTTTTATACATTTTAATTATTATCTCTCTTATATCTTATCATTTATATTAATTATATATAAAAACAAAACAAAAACAAAAATATATGCAAAAATTACTATAAAAAATAATAATAATATACAAGACAACTTATAAAATACAAAACAACAAAAAACCACAAATATATTTTTTTCTTTTTAATTTTCAAACTCGTAATAATATAGTTCGAAATGAGAACAACAACTTGTCGAAACAACATTCAACCGACGAAGTGAGTTCTCCTTTGGAAAAACCCTAGATTTAAGAAAAAGTTCAAACCACAAAAAATCATTATATATATACAACGGAATAAACGACTCTATGGAAATATATATAAGATTTAATTAAATGATTATTATTAACAATATTATAAATAATAAGGACAACAAGAAAAACAAAAAATACATTTATTATTAATATATCAATATATACTAAATATAAATAAATATATATAAAAATAAATACATATATTATCTATACAAAAATTATGAACAACAAATTATATATGTATGATGAAAAACAACACTTATATCTAAATAATAACAACAAGAAAAAATCGCCAATTGATTGATTTACAACATCATATATATATAAATATATATACTAGCTATGTAAGATTTGATGATTATTCCAAAAATCTTTTTTTTTTTTTTTGCATATTGATTGTGGATTCTACCATTATTATTGTGATCCATCCCCCAATGCCATCCCGGGGCAAATAGCAGCAGGATCTCATAATATCCAATTTCTATGCAAGGATATCTTTGCGAAAAAAAATATTCAAATAAAATCAGTTTAAAACCAACCAACAATCCATAAAAACAACAACCACCAAATGGAATGAATGATGATGAATAGATATACTTTTATAAAATATGAATGAAGAGACATCAAAAGAGCGAGAGAGACTATATTTTTCCCACTTGGGGGTTAGGCTATAATTTTCTGTGACAAAAAAGACTTAATTATATTTTTTTAATATATATTTTAATCTGGAATGTTTTGAACATTTCAAAGTTTCGCAGTCCATTTCCAAATAGGAAATTAACAAATTCACTCTTGAAGTATCCGATGGAATCTCATATTCATTCCCTTGGAAAGAACTCCCCGCTTTCCATATTGACAATCAAAAATCTTGATTAGGATATTGAAGATCCACCCCACAAAAAAATTCTTTCTTCATATGGAACAATTTTCCTTTTGGAGAAAGAGCGAAAAATGGATGGAGTATTTGAAAAAAAATAATTGACTGATGTGTCCATAAAAACATAACTCGACCTACATTTAATACATTTTGTAGGCATAATTTATCAAAGGTTTAAATCCTCCTCTCTCAAATTCATCTTTAAGTGTTGAGTCCTCTTTCAAATGGATAAACATTTTCTGATGGATCCATCGAACCATTCTGGGAAAGAGCTGCAATTAATGGATTTGGGAGAATTTTTTCTCAATCATTGAGTCTTGTCATAAAGGACCAGACCACCCTATTCATCAAGGGGAGTTCCCGAGTCGCACGAAAATAACCCAGCCCCCATTTTGAAACACAAAAATCTCACAGAAAACCCATCATTTAAGATAAGTCTCTCTCTCAATTGTCTCTTTAAGAAATTTTTTGGAAAAGAGGAATGGAAATGAATTTTATAAAAACATCTATGTAAAAACACCACGCCCCCCATTGTAAATGGAGATGAAAAGAAGTACTCCATTAAAAACGAAAATAATATCACCATATTTTCAAAACATTTAGAAGAGGGCTTGCAGAATTGTATTTTTTTCTAACATAAATAAATAGAAGAAAAAAAATCAGACTTTTTTTAAACAGAAGAAGTTTGAATATAAATAGCAACCATAACCACATAAAAACAAATATATAAAAAAAGAACATTTAAACTAATAAATATTAGCAAACTTACACAACCCACAACAACATATGTATCAATGTTAGTTTCAATGAATGATCTAGAAAATTCAAATGAAAAACCAACCCATACATTTTAAGTAGCGCCGAATTAATGTAAGGTTTTGAAAAATATAATTAAAAAAATAACATAAAGTAATTGAAAAAACCTACGACTCACAACTCCAGAAGTTTACAATGGTGGAAGGTGGAGAAAAACAACAACAACAGTTTTTTCAACACGGCAGCTGAGGGGGAAGAAGAACTCATCACACCATTAACAAAAAAAAACATCTAAACATTTTGAATGTCCACTATGAAATTTAAAAGTAAAAAAAAAAAACCTAAACCGCCAATTAAAAAAAAACTTTCAAATTCATAAAGAGAGGCATTTCATAATGATGATGATGTGATTGATGGTTGATGTTCGTTCTGCCTTCCTCTCTATGTTGTGTTGTACCCTCTCCTTCCCTTAATGTAAATTTTTTGGTGTAATTTTTTTAATAGTTGACAAGAAAAGCTGATGTTTTTTGAATATTTTTACCACACTGAAGTTAATATTATATTATATTCACAAAACATATTTTTTTATTATTATTCAATATATACATTTATTTTCTTATATTTACTAACACTTTGATTTTTTTTATATATTAAATATTTTTTTTATTACTAACACCCAACAATTTATATTGAACACAAGTTATACGAATTATACCATTAATTTTAAGCAATTTTATTTTTTACACAGTTTTTTCTTATTTGTTTTTTTTTTATATATATTTTATATAACATTATTATATTTCAATATATAACTACATATATAATTTTTAATTTTTTGTTTATAAAATAACAAAAATAACACAATTGATTCTAGAACAAAGTGGATCAAACAAAACACAACATATAAATTCTATTATTATTCAAACAAAACAAAAAACATAATTAAAAAAAATATCAAACATAAAAGTAAAAAAAAAAATGATTCAGCTAACAAACAGCAAAACAGAACAAGAAAAACAATTAAAAAACAAAACCCTGGATCTTCTAGATCCAGTCGAACAAAAACATTAATTGTGTTTTAATTGCGGGAAAGAGAGAGGGTAAGGCAAGGAGTTTAAATATTTGTTTACAAATTTTTCCAACAATTTTTTATATAAAATGCCTTTTATTTAAAGAGTATTTTTTCAAAGGAGTGGATTCAAAAAAAACCAATTCATTAAAACCAATCAAGGGCGGCGTCCATTTTTTAAGAATATTTTTTCAAACGACCATCCAAAAACGTGTTTTTTTTCTAAAGAATATTTTCAGCCTTATTCTGGATATTCGCTGGGAGATATCTCGCATATACAAAAATTTTCGCTTTCACATTCTCGCCTTATTCTGAATGAATTGGGAGACGCAAAAAATGCGAGATGCGGATTCGAGTTTTCGAAAATGGTGGTTGAAAAAAAGATTCGTGTTGCCATATTGTAATTTAAGTTGCAATGTGTGTTGCCATTTTGTAATTTAAGTTGTAATGTGTGTTGCCCCATTGTAATTTAATTGTGTAATATTTTTCAATATTTTATTTATTGATTATTTAATTAAAAATTGTTACTTGTTATTGTGGTTTAAACTTTATAACAATATAAATGTGAAATATCAAGAATCCGCTTTATAAATGCTTTGTAATTAAAAGAAAATTAATTAAAGTTTGAAAATATGGCAACCTACAATATGACATGTGAAACAGCTGTTCATTGTTTTGATGCATTTTGGTACAACAACTACAATAGATTACAAATAAAAGAACATCTTTTTATGATGGGAAAAACACAGGCACATAATTGTGTGCCTTTTTATTTAATTTCGACATTTTATCTCTCCAAATTCTTAAAGTGGCCTGTTATGCTCCTACTCCTTTATTTCTTCCTTCAAATAATACAAACGATAATTTTGAAAAAAAAAATATTTTTTGTATTTTTTTTTTTTTTTTTTGTTTCATAATTTTTATTTAAGTTTTTCACTGTTAAGCGGCTCATTATGCAAATTTGGTTTTTCTATCAGCCTTATTCTGGATATTCGCTGGGAGATATCTCGCATATAAAAAATTTTTCGCTTTCACATTCTCGCCTTATTCTGAATGAATAGGGAGACGCAAAAAATGCGAGATGCAGATTCGAGTTTTCGAAAATGGTGGTTGAAAAAAAGATTCGTGTTGCCATATCGTAAATTAAGTTGCGCTGTGTGTGGCCATATTGTAATTTAATTGTGTAATATTTTTCAATATATTATTTATTGATTTTTGTTATTAAAAATTGTTACTTTTTATTGTTATTTAAACTTTATAGCAATACAAATGTGAAATATCAAGAATCCGCTGTATAAATGCTTTGTAATTAAAAGAAAATAAATTAAAGTTTGAAAATATGGCAACCTACAATATGGCATGTGAAACAGCTGTTCATTGTTTTGATTCAATTTGTTGCAACAACTACAATAGATTACAAATAAAAGAACATTTTTTTATGATGGCAAAAACACAACGAATAATAGGAAGAAATCTGCGATTTAATTAATTAATTCACAGTTTATTATTTCACTACATAATTGTGTGCCTTTTTATTTAATTTTGATATTTTATCTCCCCAAATTCTTAAAGTGGTCAGTTATGTTATGATTTGCTCCTACTCCTTTATTTCTTCCTTCAAATCATGCACACGATAATTTTGAAAAAAAAAAAAATTTTTTGTTCTTTCATAATTTTTATATCAGTTTTTCACTCTTAAGCGGCTCATCAGGCAAATTTGGTTTTTCCATAATTTTTAAAATTTTTTTCTTGAGAGACAGATCCTCACACAAATGTCTGTATTTCGCCTCCAAAATGCATCAAACTCGACTTAAATATTCCTTATTACCTTCATACATTCTTTGGCAATACTTGGTTCAGCATGCATCGTTATCAATAGGATTTCCAATGGCATTTTATTGGCTGTTTTCCAGTTAAAAATTTGCTTACTATCATTTATAATATTCTAAATCGTCATAGAATAAGTATTGTGTAAATATTTTTCATAAAAATAGTTATTACTTATGTTTTTGTAGTCAACTCCCCTTAAATTTATTAGCGAAAAATTTCGCACAAAATTTCATCTCATCTGTAATTCAGAATACCTAATTTTTCGCCAAAGCGGATTTTTTCGCTTTCGAACTTCATTCAGAATAAGGCGAAAGCGAGAATGCGAAAAAATTCACTGGAAAATGTTGTTCAGAATAAGGCGAAGGGAAAGAGCGAGTAAATTCACATGGAATTGACATCTAGAATAAGGCTGTATATTTTTTTTCCTGAGATACAGATCCTCAAGGGAAAGAAGGGAAAGAGCGAGTAAATTCACATGGAATTGACATCCAGAATAAGGCTGTTTGTTTCAACGAACAAGGCGTGGATTTTTTATTTAAAGAAAGTTTTTTTTGTCAAAGGAGTGGATTTAAAAAAATCAAAGGCGTAGATTTTTTAAAGAATATTTTTTTCAAAGGAGTGGATTTAAAACATTTTCAAATGCGTAGATTTTTTAATGAATATTTTTTCAAACTACCATCCAAAGGCGTTGTTTTTTCTAAGGAATATTATTTCAGCGACCAAGGCGTGGGTTTTTATAGAATATTTTTCAAACGACCATTTAAAGAGTTTAATTTAAATGATTTTTTTTTTTTCAATAAGGGTATATTAACGGATATTTTTTTTAACTATCGTTCAAAGGCGTGTATTTTTTAGAGTATATTTTTTTTTCAAACCACCGGATTTTTATTTTTTTAGCAACCATTCCAAATCGTGAATTGTTTAAAGAATATTCTTTTAAACGATAAACAACCAAGGTTTGGAGTTTTTAATATTTTTACCAACAATCAAGGCTTGGATTTTTTAAATATTTTTTTTTCAAACAACCAAGGCGTGAACTTTTTTAAATATTTTTTTCAAACAACCAAGGCTTGGAGTTTTTAAATATTTTTTTTAACAACCAAGACATGGATTTTTTCAAAGGGCACATAGCTCTCATATAGATTTCCATCCCCTTCTTCGGTATTTTCTAACTAAATTGGCATAGTTGGAGGGTGAGAAACATTTTTATAGCAAATTCTGGATGATTGGATTACTTTACCGAAGTGACTATCATAATTTGACATTTGCAGAACTAGTTCAATAAAGATCCATGTCTTGGCACAGCCCCAAAATATAAAAACAAGGTTCCTAACCCATCTTCGGATTTTTTATTGATTTAACCGCCACCAATGTTGCTGTAATTTGACATTCCAGGTTCTTGGAGGACAAATAAATATAAAGATATAAAGGTCCCGATAGATTTAGGAAATTTTTAATGTTGATGGTATGAAAAGTTCGATCGAAAATTGTTTACTTGTTGGACGATCTTTAATTATATGTCTTTTCTTGAATTGGTTGGGGAATCAGAAGGATAGTTATTTTGAAAACTATAATATAAATTGGATAATATTTGGCACAGCTCATTTATTTGGCCCAAGGACGAACGCTGTTGAAATTGGGAAAAATCGATTCAGATTTAGATATAGCTCCCATATATATTTTCGTCCGATTTTAGGTAAATAGTGCACCAAAGTCCCTTTATATCCTTCGATTTGTACAAAATTTGCATCGCGTATTGAATTGGATCTAGAATAATGTGTGGTAAGTTTCGGAAAAATTGGCTCAGATTTCGATATAGCTCCCATATATCGCCAGATTTTATGTAAATGGTGCAACAAAGTCCCCAAAAATCATTCGATTTGCACGAAACTTGACATACCGTACTGAATTGAATCTAGAATGATGAGTCGTATATTTAGGGAAAATCGGTTCAGATTTCGATATAGTTCCCATATATATTCTCGTACGATTTTATGCCAATTGAGCACCAAAATTCCTATGTAGCTTTTCATTTGCTCGTAATTTGGCATGGCGTACTGAATTGAGTCCAGAATGATGTGTGGTAAGTTTCGGAAAAATCGGTTCAGATTTCGATATACAAAATTTAGCACAAGGAATCAAATTGAGACTTGAATAACGTTATTGCGTGTTGTTGAAATTGGTGCAGATGCAGCATAGCTTCAATATGAATTTCGAACCGGCATCTGATTGAAATTAATTTTTTAACAGTGCGACGTACCGAATCGCGTGTATCAATTTTACTATAAATCTTTTTTTGTCCCATGGTACGCAGACGACTATAAATCTGCCCGAATTAAATTAAATTTATCATAGACAGAATGACATGAGTATGTTCCATGCAATTGTAATGATACATATCGCTCATTTGCTGCAAGACAGGCATAACTCAAAAAATGTGATTTTGGAGTTAATGATGCACGATTGTTCGCTATAATAGAATTCATGTTGTGTAAACAATTCATATGAATATCTCTTACAAATTTTTTTGGGTTATGCCTGTCTTGCAGCAAATGAGCGATATGTACAATATACCCAAAGTTGTGAAGGGTATTACATAGTCTGCCCAGAGCAGAACCCATATAACGAATTCTCCATTATTTAGTATTTTGGGTATGCCCCAAGTTTTGTTATCTTGAGACCAATTTGCCTTTTTTATTAGCAGGAATTTACCATGACAATGCCTCTATATAAATGCCCGATTGTTTCTACGTCTTTAAAAAAAAAATTCAAAAGACGTGGATTTTTTAAAGACTATTTTTTTAATTCCACATAATATGTCCGTTGTATTTTAAAATATTTTAAAATTTAATCGTTATTTATTTATTATTATTTTTTTAGAAAACTTTTAAAAGCTTTGCTATGTTAATAAAAAGCTTTAGTTTGTCTTTAATAAAATCCACATCACCTTTAGTGTGATTTTTGTGCGGCTAGGAGAATTTGTTTCCGAGTAATATTTAGTTCTACTTGAACATCAGTGAGTTCTCATTGCATGTCAGCTGTGTTGGCGTATATAGGATAAAACAAATCTGAAAGAACCAGAAACATGTACGAGAATATGAAGAACAAAACAATATTGGTGACCGGTGCCGGGGCAGGTAAATATAATAAAAAATTGCAATTATTTTCCTGCTTTGCATAATTTAAGAAATAGAAAGATTTTTTAAAGCCCCACTCCTACAACTTTGATAACAATATTTTGCGTTGTTTGATTTTATTAACCCCCCACCTCACTATTTATAGTGATTGGTGGGGATAATAAAAACCAAATTTACTTATCAACTATTTACTATTCTAATCATTTTTGCTTTGGAATTGTTGTTGTTTTGCTGTGTTTGTTCACGCGTTCATCTGTGACCACATCAGGTATTGGCAATGAACTGTGCAAACAACTAGCCCAGGCGGGAGCAAATGTTATCGCTGTTGCCCGTTCCACCGAACAGCTCAAAGAATTGAGATCATATAGTCCGCTGATAAAAACTCTACAGGTGGATCTTAAGGATTGGCAACAGGTGCGTCAAACATTAGCCGGTGTTCCTGATCTGGATGGTCTGGTGAATAATGCCGGTGTGGCAATTATACGGCCATTTACCGAATTAACTGAACAGGATTTCGATGAGTAAGTTTTCGGTAGACTATTTTAAAAGAAAAATATTTTTCATAATTGTGGATTTTTTTTATAAAATATTTTTTTCACAAGGGTGGAGTTAAAAAAAAGTTGGTAGACTCACATTCGTAGATTTGAATGAAATAATATCCAAATATTGACTAAAAAAACTTTTTTCAAAGGCTTAAAAAAACATTTTTTCAAAACATAAAAAAATATTTTTTTACGAATTTCCAAAAAATATTTTTTTCAGATTTAAATATATATTATTTAAAGTATATGTAGAAGCTATATCTAAATCTAAACTGATTTCAACGAGACTTGCCAGATATTAATTTATATTAACTACAGTTCATTGTAAAATTGTGTGGCAATCGGGCAAACTTTGCCTCTTTAGTGTACAATTTAAATAAACTCGGAAGAAAATATATATAGGAACTATGTCTAAATCTGAACTGAGACTTAGCACACATAATTTTAGACTTAATTCAGTACGATATGCCAAATTTTGTGCAAATCGAAAGATATATAGGGACTTTGGTACACCATTTACATTAAATCGGACGAAAATATATATAGCAGCTATATCTAAATCTGAGCCAATTTTTCAAAATTTTTTAATTTTAATTTAATTTTGAAATATTACAGCACATTCGATGTCAACATTAAAGCTGTTTTCAATGTCACCCAAACTGTGTTGCCCAAATTGAAGCCAAATTCGTGCATTGTCAATGTATCTTCCTTGGCAGCAAGCAGATCATTCGATGGACATACCGTTTATAGTGCCACTAAGGCGGCAGTTGACTCATTGACACGTTCACTGGCATTGGAATTGGGTCCACGGAAAATTCGTGTAAATTCCGTGAATCCAACTGTGGTCTTAACCAAAATGGGTCGTGACAATTGGAGTGACCCGGCCAAATCAGGGGCTCTATTGGCTCACATTCCACAACATAGATTCTGTGAAGTTCAAGAAGTTATAGATGGAATTGTCTATTTACTGAGTGACAAATCGAGTTTTGTTAACGGTCATCATTTGCCCTTGGAGGGTGGCTATTCAGTTCAATAAAAAAGCAATAGTGTTTTTTTTTATTTTCATATTTTTTATTATATTCTTCTGTAAATAAATGTAAATTAATAGAATTTGGTTTTTTTTTTCTTTATACATTTCAAATATGTAATTTTAATAGATTTTAAATTCCTTTTTTTGTTATAAATCACTAAGAAACTAATATGTAAATAAAAACAATTTTTTAAAATAGAATATAATTATTGGCAGAATTGTAGTTTTTTTATCCAAATTAAAAAGTTTACAAAATGTTGTTTGTGTTTTATTTTACATTACTACATACAATCAATATGGTGTACTTGGAGTATTTTTTCTGTTTGCAACTCTACTAAAATCTAATTTTGAAAAAAAAACTTTTAGAATTGATTCTGCCCAAAAAGAATGGTTGGTTGGTGGTTAGATAGTAAATACATTTTTTATGTTTTGAACATTGCAATGTACGTACAAAAAATATATATTTGTTATTATGAAATTCGAATTCGAATTTGTTTTCTTCGAAAATTGTCTTATAATCTACTAGGGTGGTTATTATATTAAATATTATTAATACATACTATAATCAAATTGCAACGTTTAGCGTTTTTGAAAAAAAAAGGTGGAAGGGATGAGCGATGATGTATCGAGGGAGGGGGAGAGATAAGAATGTTATGGTGTTTCGATCGTTGTCGTCGTTCATGTGCCCACTTTCATCTGTTGTTGACTTTGCATTAGCTGTTTCTTTTCACGTTCTCGCCGACGTAGCTTCTTGCGTCTTCTATCAATACTGGCTAAATCGCTTTTTATAATATTATAGGTTTTGCGTAGATCTTGTATTTGTTTTAATAGTATTGCTATACACTGATCGGAGCTTAGAGAGGGATCTGAAATTAAATAAAAAATATATATTTTTCATATAAATGTTTAAAATTAAGTATAGAGTTTAAAAATATTTTATCAAAGTGGTGTATTTTCTATATCCAAAGGAAACTTTTGAGAACACTTCACACAATCCTATCAAGGGCGTTAATTAAAAAATATTTTATAGGTTTTAAGTGAGTAGTGGATTTAAAAAAAAAAAAAACATATTTTCTAGTAGATTAAAAAAATCTAAAGAGTTACTGAGTGGATTTAAAAAAACTTAAAGAGGCGTGGATTTAAAAATATATTTTTAATCTTTTAACTAATGCGTGGAATTTAAAATTTTTTCTGAAGCCTTGGCTAGAAGGCTTGGATTCAAAAATATTTCCTAGATTTTATCTAAGTCACTTGGATTTAAAAAAATATTTTCTAGATTTCTATGTTTTAATTGAAAAAAAAAAATATTTTTTTTTTTATCGAGGCATGGATTTTTTAAAAATATATTCAAGTTTCTAAGTGAGGCGCGGATTAAAAAAAACAGTTTCCAAGTTTCAATTGAGGCGTGGATTTAAAAAAATAGTTTCCAAGTTTCAATTGAGGCGTGGATTTAAAAGAATTTAAATTTTAATTGAGACATGGATTTTTTAAAAAATATTTTCCAGGATCTAACTGAGACGCGGATTTTTTTAATAAATATTTAAGTTTTAAAAAAAGTTTAATATTTAAAAAAAAATTGAGGTACAGGGTATTATGTCTTTGTGATTAAAAAAAAATATATATATTATTTATGCATTTGTATACCCTTTTAAATTGTACACAATGTACAAATTGGTAAAAATCGTATTATGTCTCCCATATATATGCATATGTTTGTAACAGGCATATATCTTTCGAGGAAATTTAGCATATAATAAATTAAGTCAAATGTGTGTTAACTTTTTCGGTTTAAATTTAGATATAGCTCCCATATATATTTCCGCATGCCCGTCCATGTTTGCAAAATTTGGCAAACAAAGTACAAATTGGAAAAAAATCGATTAAGATTTCGATACAGCTCCCATATATATTTTCGTCCGATTTTATATAAATAGTGTACCAAAGTCCCTATAACTTTCGATTTGCACGAAATTTTGCATAGTCTACTGAATTAAGTCTAGAATAATGTGTGTAAAGATTCGTGAAATTCGGTTCAGATTTAGATATAACACCCATATATATTTTCGTCCGATTTTATGTAAATAGTGCACCAATGCCCCTTTGTATGCTTCGATTTGCAGGACATTTGGCATAGCGTACTAAACTAAGTCTACAACGATGTGTGTTAAATTTCGTGAAAATCAGTTCAGATTTAGATGTAGCTCCCATATATATTTTCGTACGATTTTAGGTAAGAAGTGCACCAAAGTCCCTGTGTATCCTTCGATTTGCACAAACTTTGGCATAGCGTACTGAATTGAGTGTAGAATGATGTGTGGTAAGTTTCAAGAAAATCGGTTCAGATTTCGATATAGCTCCCACATATACATATATATTCGTCCGATTTTACATAAATTGTATTTAGTTGAAATTGGTGAAGATGCAGCCATAGCTTCCATTTGTATTCGTTCGACACCCGCTATTCGACGTACCGAATAGCGAGTATCAATTTCGCTATTAGTCGTTTAAAATAATGTTTTACCCAAGACACGCAGACGGCTCTAAATCTCCCCGAATGAAATTAAATTTAGCATAGGTTGCAGAAAGACATGAGTATGTTCCTTTGAGGGAACATTGACATGAAATGTAAGGATATATATGTGGAATATACCCAAAGTGGTGAAGGGTATCATATAGTCGGTCAGTCCGACTTTACTACTTTCCTTACTGGTATAATATTGTTTTTATTATATTCTTACCTAATTGTACCAGGAAATTATATGGACATGGTTTTGAACCCGATGATGATGAACCTTGTTGTGTCTGAGACTGTTGTTGTAAATTATGTCTAGATGTATGTGCGCTGCGCTGAGATATATTATCTGAATTGTCATCGCTATCAGAACCAGCTGTAGATGAATATAACAAAAAAATAGAACAAAGTTAGCTACCCACAAGACTGAAAATATAAATGAAAAATAAAAAAAATCAAAAATGTACCTGTTTTATTTTTATTTATTGTCATAGCACGACGTCGCTTTGATTGTTGTTGATGGTGTTGTTGCTGCTGCTGTTGTTGTTGTTGGTCTACAGACATAGAGACATCGCCTTGCTTACGAGTACGTCTTCTCTTTTGTGGTGAAACACCACCATCGAGATCAACATCCTTTTTAATATCTTCACTTGATTCGTCTTCTTGACTGCCGGAATCATTGGGAGAACTATTGACGTTGCCGACACCTGTGACAGAAACCGACGTCGTTTGTGCCATATTTGCTTCGGCTGTTGTTGTTGTCGTCGTCGTTGTTTTATTGCTGCTGCTACTTAGCACGGAAAAGTCTTTGTCACCACCGCTGCTAACCATCACAGGATCGGGTAGCAGAGATGTGGCCGTCCTTTCTTGAGAATCTTCACGTCCTGCAATAACAGAAGCTGGACTACCGGGTATTGTTTCTTCACAGCGTAATTGATTAATGGAATCACTGTGGGTATCTGTCAAATTTGATGCAACTTCCATGGGTGGCAAGTTGCTGCTGCTGCTACTTGTTGTGGTGATGATATTTTCACCCCTGATTGTGGCAGAACTACTTAGCGGCTTGGGTATATCAATTAAAGGCTTGAGACCATCATCTGGTCTTAATTCGGTACGAGGATCCAAATAGAAACCCGATGTGGATGCTGGGGGACATGTTGCTGTAATTGGATGGAAACCTCCGGAAGTTTTGGTTGGCGTTGACAAAGGTATACCACCACTTGTATTTGTATTGGGTTTAATAATCTGTGGTTGTACAACGGGTCTAATGGTGGTGGAGTTTTCAAATGATTTTGTTGTGGCAACAAATGCTGTGGGACCACCACTACTTTGGACGGGCGTAATGAGACTTTGCATGGGGCTAGACACCGCTGCCGTTGATATGGGAATAATCGGAGTCGGTTTGGGTATATTTCCACTAAGACTGGGCGTGGGAGGTGTTTGTTTTTGTGGCGTCTGTTTGGATGTTTGTAAAGCTGCTGCCGCAGCCTGGGCAGCTGCCATAACTGACGGTACGGCCGATGAAGCCACAACCACAGAGGCTGGTATATCTGGTAAATCGATGGGTACCCCTGCACTTGAAACAGTAACTACACCACTTGTCTGAGTAGCTGGTGCTCTTGCAGCTTGATTTGTTTTCTGTGGAGTTGATATGACATTTGTTGGAGCACTGTTACTGCTGATAGATGGGGGTTCGTTGCTTGCACTCGGGAGAGTAGTAGTAGTTTGCAAATTTATTGTGCTGGACATAACCACCACACTTTTTTGTATGGATTGTGGTGAGGAGGTTGCCGAGACACTACCGCTTGCACTTGATTGTGGATTTGTTTGTATAACCGGTTTAAGGCTACTGGGATATGCCACTGTCCCTCCGGTACCAGGTTTATTCACCACCAAGCTGGGTGAAGCCACAATATTAACAATATTTGTGGGATTTGAGGCAACGGTGGGAGTAATGGTAGCCCTTGTTGCTGTAATGGCTGTGACGGCTTTAATCGGTATTGGAGCAGGAATGTCATGTTGGGCGGCATAAGCAATTTTCGTGGGTACCATTGTGGTAGATTCCAGTTTGATGGGTAAACTACTGCTGCTACCAACGGGTGGGGTTATTGTTGTGGTTTTCGGTGATTCTGTCCTAGTCAATGTCACAGGACTGGGTTTGTGTTCAACCAGTGTTGTAGTTGTGGACTGCGATGTTGATACCGGCGGTGCAGTTGGTTCCTCAACAACATCTTCGATGACCAAACGTCGTTCCGAATCTGTACTATCGTTACTATCCTCGGAAAATGTTTCGGGATTGGTGGTGGACAGAGGTGTGGTTGGTGTTACCGGATGACTGGTAACCGGGGTACGTCTCTGTATGGCACATTCCAATTTTTGTATGGTTTCGGATAATTGATTTTTGGTTCCACCCATTGATTCTAGTATTCCCATTTTTGGTTCTGGCGATGTTAGTGGGGTGCGTTTGTTGGCCAAGAAACTGTTGAGTGGACCACTCAACAATGTCGTGCAAACTGCACCGGTCGAAGAGAGATCTGTATTGATTTTCAATGGCTCACTTAGCAACACCGAAGACGTGGTTGGGAAATTACTTGGAGATGGTGTTAAGGCATCTAAACTACTTTTAATGGGAAGTGCTGGAAGTCCCGAAATACTTGTCCCGCCTGGCTCCTTCGTTTCTAAGGGGGTTCCTTCTTTTTCTTTCCTGGATTCCTCTTGTTTTTTGTTCTCTTCTTCCTCTTTCTTTTGTGAAATGGCTTTGAGGACTTTATCAGCAATGGATGAGGTTGATGGCTTGGTTTCCAATTTGGAAACATCCAAATCAAATACTCCACCGGTGGCCGAGAGTAATACCTTGGCATTTTCAAGTTCAAATTTATTTTCTCGACCGCTGGTACCAGCCCCAAAGGATAACTCAAAGACACTACGCGTTTCAATGAAGGGACTGCCCACTTGAGGTTTAGCTGTGGTACTGTTACTACTGTTGCTGGGTGGTGTGGTAAGTTTAGGTGATTGTATAGTTGTTGCTGTTGTAGTACTACTAAGTGCTGTTGTTGTTGTTGCCGTCTGCGGTACTGTTGACGGCGGCGGTGGTGTTTGTAGTAAAGGTGGTGTAGGTTTCAAATTTGTTCCCATGGCTGGTATTATTGTTTTTGTGGGCGTACTTTCATTCGGATTGTTCGGTACAATCACCTGTGATTGAGGTGTTTGCAGGGCATCGGTTAGGGCTCGTGTCGTTTCTTGTACAGTTTGTGCCAGTTCTTCGTTTAAGGCATTGATATTCAGATTAAAACTAGGCGATTTGCGCAGGGCATCAAAGACAGATGGCGTTTCTGTAGAGGACGATGAGGCGGCGGCGGGAAGTTTCTGTGGCACTGTTATCACAGGAGCCAACAATGATGAAGCACTTGACGCTGGAGTGTTGAGCGGTGCCGTGGTTTTTGGCAATGCTGGAGCATGCATTATTGTTGTTGCGGTTTTAGCCATTCCACTTGTTGTTGGATTCTTAACAATTGCCGTTGAAGGAGCTGACGACGCCATTGTTGAATGATGTACTAGTTTAGCATCTTGTACCAGTGGACTGGGAGTGGTGGTGGGTTTCTCTTCCAATTTCAAAAGCTTTGATTTCTCAATAACGGACTCCTTCATAGGCGAGCCACGTTTTTTACTTTTAACAATGGTGGACATGGGATTTTGTGCCATGGGAATATGGTGTTCGGTTTTTACGTTAGCCTTGAGGCGTTGGGTCGTACTAGGCGTAGGTGGGCCAGTTACTGCCGTAAAACCACTGGAAGTTGTGGCAGAAGAAGAGGAAGCCGCAGCCAAAGAGGCCGCCAAAGAGCTACCCAAATTAGCCGTAATAACTGATGAACCACTGCTGCTAGCAGCAGCAACCATTGGTGATTTACGTATTTCAAATTCAAATGGCTCGGTGTCCTTGAATTCATAAATATCAGGTGAGGGTGGCTTGTTGACAGCCATAATATTACTGGCCTTCTGCTCCTTGGCAATGGCACTGGCATATGAAGTGGTGGACGACGATGAGGTTGAATTTGAGGGTGACGACGTTGAATTTGACGAAGACGATGTTCCGCTAATGTCCAATTTACTCATATCGGGCAAGAATCTTGAGCCCGAAGAACCCGTTGATGTGGCCGAGGATGATGAGGACGATGTTGAAGAAGATGTAGATGATGTTGATGAGGGCGAACATGCTGCTGGCGGTTCCACTTTTAAAATTTCTTTATGGACATTTGGTTCAATGAATTTCTTAATGGTGTGGACACTCATTTGGCTTTCCGTCAGAGATGAGGATTTCTTTGGTGTCTCCACCAATTTCTTTGTGTTGAATGATGTTTCCAATTTCTTGACAGCCGATAATGGTTTCTCAACAATTACTGAAGCATATTTATTGGGTGTCGATGAGGGTGTTATCGATGACGTTGCCGTGGAGGGAAATCGTGTTGGTTGTATCAAGGTACATTTGGTTTCCGACGAACCAACAATTGTGCTAATCAACGATTTCTTTTCTTCATCCTTCATGGGGGTGGTGTCCTTCTTCATGTCCATTTCCATTTTAAGCGATGCCAATGTGGGCTTTATTTCTTCCTTAATTGTGATTTTGGCCTTGGACTGTTCATTGCGTTTGTCAGAATCACGCTCTTTGATGATTTTTTCCACCACACGATTACCGCTACTGCTACCGCCACCCGTGGAAAATGTTGAAGTTTTAGATGTTGATTTTTCGCTGGATTTATCCGCATTGATTAGTTGTTGGAATTTCTTACGCATATTTTCAAGTTTTGTAGTTTTATCCGAGGATTGTGATTCGTCATCACCAAAGGAATCTGTTTCCGATGACATTTCGGTGGACGATCTTTTATTTGGCTCCTCCTTTGATTCAGATTTTAATTCCTCTTTTATTATTAGAGAGGATGTGGCAGAATTTGTGGATGATTTTGAATCAAATTCTGGCTTTTCGGTTTTAATCTTACTTAGCAGCGAGTCTTTCGTCTCGTTTTTAGTTTCCATAGAATCGTCCATTTCATTGGTGGCTTTAATTGTTTCAAATCCCTTTAGTTCGGAACGAATTTGTGATAAATCATAATCTCTGCCTTTGCGTGGCGTAGCTGTTTTACTTGTTGTTGGCATATCTTCCTCTTCTTCTTCATCGTCGTCATCTTCATCGTTTTCATCACTTTCCGATTGACTGTTTGGTGCTGAAATAGACATTTTGGATTTACCGGGTGATTTTCGGTTTTTGTGGGCGTCTTTTATATTTGGACGATTTGGACGTTTGACGGGTTCATCAGAATCAGTATCCGAATCTTCTTCGGTTGCCATAGATACATCGGAGACATTTGCCGATGTTCTGCGCATATTACCTTGCATTTGACGCTGAGGACGTTTTTTCAAAGCCGAAGATGTTGCCGGAGATTTGGTACGGCTTGAATTTGAGGCAACCGATGAGGGTGTCGTTGAACGTGGTGGCATAGAATCACTACGTCCTCTACCACGTTTGGCAGCAGCTGTTGGAGTTTTAGCGGCCGTCGACGATGAAACATTCTGTTGATTGCTACTGGAAGCTGTAGATGATGTGGAACCACTATTTCCCCCACCTCCAACGCTACCACCACCTCCTCCACTAGAATTGGATGTTGCAAATGATGATGCAGTTGGTGGTTTTGGCGGATTCTCTTTGGCCTTTTCATTACTATTCGATGAACGACCACTCTTAAATTTCGAACCTTTAGTTAGATTTTCAGCGATACGTTCTCTTGGTACCCATTCATCATAACGATTATTCCATCCCGTATAATGAACCAAATACATTGGTGTATTACGTTGTAGTGTTATTTCAAGAACTTTCGCTTCGTACGTGACTTTCTTTTCGTGATAATAGACTTTGAGTTTGTCACCCGTCTCCACTACGAAGTCACCTGTATCGATTTTCTCCACAACAATTTCATCTTTACGTCGCTTGTTGCGTTTATCGTCACTTTGTGATGATTGTTTACGTTGTGTTTTATCTTTTTTACTGGAGACATTCGAACCTGTAAGAAAAATTAAAAAAATAATAATTAAATTTAGTTGCGTATATTTTTTTTAAATAATTTTTTTCCCAAAACCTTTAAGAGTTGGGCTTTTAATAAAATAATTTTGGATTTTGTATTAAATATAGTTTCGAACAACTATATGAGGCGAAGATTTTTTAAATAAATTTTTCCAACACCTATATAAGGCGTAGAATTTTAAATATTATTTTTCCATGCCTTTTTGAGGCGTAGATTTTTTAAATATTATTTTTCCATGCCTTTTTGAGGCGTAGATTTTTTAAATATTATTTTTCCAACACCTATATAAGGCGTAATTTTGAAAGAGGTTATTGGAGTTAAAAAAATGTCTACCACAAAGTATTTTGGCTTTATGTTTCAAAATTAAAAAAAACAACAATTTTTTGATTTCAGTTTGGTGGTTTTTGTCTTCGTTTATACGATGAAAGCTTTAATTTTTCTTCATCTACTTTATGTGCTGCTTCTACATCCACACATTTGGTTATTTAGAGCTTTTTTCACATTTCTCTTTTCGCTTGGCTATTATCGTTTTCTCAATCTATAGTTTGACATTTAACGCATCAGCAGTAGCACAACGCAAACAAAAATAACAAAAAAAAAAAAATAGAGAAGACGAATAAAGTTGCCGACAAACACAGACTGATTATTATAATAATAAAATAAAAAAGTGAAACTAGTAGAATTAAATAATTTAAATTTTTTAATCAAACAGAAAATAAGGTAATACAAAAAATATAATTTAAAAAATAATATAAAATTTTAAATTAGACTATGAACAAATAAGACCATGCCTATCAAATTAATTGCAAGTAGTTTTCCATAGTGAAGTGGTTCGTTCCTTTCTTCCCGAAAATATCCAAATCCAAAATTGTTTAATAATCACAAGACATATATATATTTTTTTTAAAATCTTATCAGCTTCAGGTGGTTTAAAATTCCTAACACAGGTCAATAACAAGACACTTTGTAGAAACAAGAAAACATTGCGAATCAAATGCTGATATGCGAAACAAAGTTTGTGTTTTTCAATGTCCAATCAAAGAAGCATATCTACAAATATGTTAATAATGACGACAATGCTCCTTACCCCATAAGAAGTATAAAACCCGTGGCAGGGGAAGCATGTTGTTAATTGACCGAATTAAAAATAAAATTTTTTGTCACCAAATGAAAAAATAATTAGAAACTTAAATATTTGTCTTTATTCAAATTTGTTGATAAGAGAGTGGCACATTTCAGGCGCTTTCGAAGGTCTAATAACTTTTTTCCACATGCAAAGACTTAATGAATAGTTTTGTGTGTACGGAAAGTGTTTTGTAAATTTCATTTTACATACATTTTTTAAATTTTCATTCATGTCAAGTCTATACACAACATCGGAATCTACAAGGCCCATAAAATCTGGTATTTATGTAGAAGAGGCCTAGACTTTAATGTCGTTTTAAACCAACGATGATACACTGGAAGGGTTGACGATCCGAAACGACCCGAGTCTTTCTCGGCCAACGTCTGTCACGCCAGCCCAATAACATCTGGATCTATATTATTCTATATTGACTACAATACACCGCACAAACATATAATAGTGTTGGTCAAATGTGATACTCTGATACCAGACAGAGACTGCCCTCTGGAAACTGTTGTCACCTTAATGACTCTCTTGGCCAGTAGGAAGGGCGAGACTGAAATCCTTCATAGAAGAACGGGAGACTGAAATTTCACATCTACAGCCAGATCACAATATGATCCTTTAGGCATATGTTCGAGCTATAAGAGAGTGTCTAAAGTGGTTATGTCCAAAGTCTACAACTTTTTCACATGTTATTTAAAACATATCAAATGTAATTCGAGAATTTAATTTGTAATTCACAACATATAATTTGTAATTTGAGAATTCCGTTTGTAAATCATACACTTTTATTTGCAAATCTTATACTTCCATTTGAAATTCAAAGGATTGCATTTGAAAAGCATAAATGGGAACCAGGGTTCAAATCCCAGCCGGACTAATGCTGAATTTTTGAGTTTTTTTAGGGCATAATTGGTTTGGCACCCAAATATCGAGCTTCTTTTTGAATATAGCTTTGTGTAAATGGGTTAAAACAGTTTTATGGTCGATTTTTAGCTCCTGGGCGATGTTACGACTGCCGGTTAACTTCGATCATATATATATCAACCTATTATACCGGAGTCAAAATATACCCAAACAAAATTCAATCTCGTATAATTTTATAGTTTTGATTTCCATACCTCTCAATATATTTTTTGCACACGTCTTTAAATCTAAAAATAGCACGAAGAGTTATTGTTTGTAAACAATTTACTTTCGACGGAAAGTTCCTCCATTTTTTTAATTTTAAATATTTCCATTTTTGTTCTTAATCTTGTTGTTTGGACATTTGTTAATAGTTTTCTAAAAGTTAGTGGGCTCGGCAATTTGTGCGTATTTTTATCTAATCAATAATTTTTTGACTAGTCATAACGTTGTAACATTGGACGAGTGGATAGACATCGGACATACAGCACAAAAACATATTATAGGCAACTACTGAGTCAATAATCAATACCTTTGATTCAGACCACATACCTGAAACGAGAGTAGTAACACGGTGCGAAACTATAATACCAGATAGAGAACAATGGAATAGTGGAACACTAGTTCAGATGCCGACTGGTAACAGTTGCTACACAGATGATTTTCGACTAGGAGGAAAAACTGGACTGGGATTTTTTATCGAAGAAGCGGGTACTGAAATTTCTCTTCGTCCCTCAGATCACAGCACGATCCTACAGGTGGAGGTTCAAGCTATAACAGAGTGTCTTAACTGGTTAAGTTCAAACCAAGGACAAAATTCAAAAAAAAATATTATTACGGATAGCAAACAAGCTATAAAAGCAATATCTTCCAAAACAGCAAAGCAAATCCCAACGCTAAGCAAATCATAACGCTATCCGGCGGGACACCTCAGCCTGAAGGCACATCTACTCAAGATTGAATGCGAAGGTAGCAGCATGTGCAGAGGAAGACAGTGAAATGCTGGAATATTTTCTGTGCCAATGCCCAGATTTTACATGCCTTCGGAACAATTCCTGGGAAATTACACTTTTCACGGAGTACCGATTTGAGGGGGTGTGAATGGAGAAGACTGAAGGAGTTCTCAAAAAACACGGAATTCCTAGATTCATAGGGGGATTAAACCCAAAATGTTTTTTAATCTAAAATTTCACTAATTCTAACTTTCTCCTCATTTCTAGAGCGCACAACAGACTTCAATTGGCTTATATGTCCTTCTCATGGTATTATCCACCCTCTTTTCAACCTAACCTAACCTAACCTAAGTTGTAGAATTTAAAATACGATAACACCGCTACTAGAAGTCTTCTAGATTTATAACAAAAAAACCTCCCGTTCTTCTATGAGAACACTTCTAGCTTTCTCCAATGAGAATACTTTTATAAGAATTCGTCTGATATGCTATGAGAAAACATCTGGTCTTCTACGACAATTTATCTAGTTCTTCAATTGTAAGAGCTTTTCGGCTCATGAAAATCATTGTAATAATTCTAGGAGAACATTTAGCCAATACAAGCCATACAAGCTATGCCTGTCACCTCGGCCATTTGCACACCCTTGCCTGGCGAAAAGGTCAAGGTGACCGAGGATGGTTTTGTGGAGGTTCGCGGCTATGCATGGTCTGGGGGTGGTCGTCGTATTGTTCGTGTAGACTTAACGGCTGATAAAGGTAAATCATGGCATGTTGCTACATTGGAACAAGAAAATGAACCCGATGGACGCCTCTATGGTTGGTCATTGTGGACAAATTCATGCCAAACTCAAAGGTGAAGAAGTTGAAATTTGTTCAAAGGCTGTCGATTCAGCGTACAATGTCCAACCAGAATCATTTGCAAATATTTGGAATTTAAGAGGTGTCCTTTCGAATGCATATCATTCTACGACAATTTATCTAGTTCTTCAATTGTAAGAGCTTTTCGGCTCATGTTTGAACATGTTTCCTGGACTATTGAGTTTCTTTTCTATGAAAATCATTGTAATAATTCTAGGAGAACATTTAGCCAATAAAAAATTGTTTCGCTATCTTGCCGAATTTCTATTGACTTTTATTATGCTGGCCTTCATTTTTGGACCCTCTGGTGGTCCGTGAAAAGATACATTGGGCTTCTATTCTTGTATTCTATGAGAAGAACTTAGGGGTTTTTTCTATGAAAATCTTAGGAATGATGCGAAGCCTATTCGGACTTCTAAAAGAAAACATCTAGAAGAAGACCATTAACCCTCCTGGAGAAAATGTTTTTTTTTTTTTTTGGCGAATTCATATTTTCAATTTTTAACCACTTATAATATTTTCTGAGGGCCTTTTGGTTGTCAATGATTTGAGGATTTGAGAATTTGAATTTCATTGAGGGATATGTAATCTTTTTGGAATCTATTGGAAGACTTTTTTTATTTTCTATGAGACCATCTCTTGAATTTCACTTAATTTTATTATTCACAAAATTATTATGCATAAGCTTATATTCTACAAAAACAACAACCTAATTGCTTAATTGATTTTTTTCTTTTCATTTTTTTTACTTTAAGCACTAATTAACCCAGCCTGGTCATGAGTTTTTTAATAAAAGCAGCTGCAACAAATATAAGGAATTCCTACACACCCGGTTTAAAATGTTTGTCAACGGGTTTATATGGAAAACTCAATCACAGCACATCACATGGTCAACATAAACAGCAACAACAACAGTACAGATATGCCTCAGGTCATACAAAAACAGCAAAAAATCAAACTGCCGTTTACACACTTTTCACAGTGGGTGGCATAACTTTGGGTTATTTGTTTTTCGATAATTTGGAAAAAATAAAACAAATGGCGAAGGAAACATCCAAAAGCAATGCCACAGCTACAAAACTAACAGAACAACACACATTCAATTCGAACGATACGAATGATGAAGAAGCCTTCAGGCATTGGCATTCAACGGAGCGTACAGATTTGCCAACCTACAAATTGGAAGATGTACAAAAACACAATACACTGGAAAAGGGTATTTGGGTAACCTATGGCATTGGTGTATACGATATCACCAAATTTATTCCCAAACATCCGGGTAGTGATAAAATTATGTTGGGTGCCGGCAGTGCCATTGATCCCTTCTGGGCGATTTATCAACAACACAACAATAAGGAGATTTTAACGCTATTAGAATCATATCGCATTGGTAATATTTCACCTGAAGATGAAGTATCTACAGATGATATGGGTTCACCATGGGCTCTGGAACCAAAAAGACATCCTCTCTTAAAGCCAGCTTCGGAAAGGCCATTTAATGCTGAGCCACCATTAACCATTTTGGCAGAGAATTTCTATACACCCAATGAGTTTTTCTATGTTAGGAATCATTTGCCAGTGCCGGCTATTGATGTCAAAACCTATGAATTGGAAGTGGAAGTAGAAACAGAGAAAGCAGGAGCTACAAACAAACAAAAGGTATTGAAATTTGAAGATATCAAGGCATTGCCGAAGCATAGTGTTACCGCAGCCATTATGTGTGGTGGAAATCGACGTTCGGAAATGACTGAGGTGAAGGGTGTTAAGGGTAAGGAGGATTTAAATTAATAATTAATAAATGATAGCAAATTTTAATTTGTTGTGCTTTCTTTTTCAGGACTGTCATGGGGTGCTGGTGCTGTGGGCAATGCCAAATGGTCGGGAGCCCGTTTACGTGATGTGCTTTTGGCCATGGGTGTACAACCCAATGAAAATCTTCATGTCATACTTGAAGGTGCTGATTTAGATCCCACTTCAAATCCTTATGGTGCCTCGATCCCTCTCTCCAAGGCATTGGATGAAAGAGGTGATGTAATTTTGGCCTATGAAATGAATGACAAGCCCCTCAATCGTGATCATGGTTTCCCCATACGTGTTATAGTGCCAGGTACTGTGGGTGCCCGCAACGTTAAATGGTTAACACGAATTGTTGTCGCCGACCATGAATCCAATTCCCATTGGCAACAGAATGATTATAAAGGTTTCAGCCCCAGCACCGACTGGGATACGGTTGATTTTACCAAATCACCAGCCATACAAGCTATGCCTGTCACCTCGGCCATTTGCACACCCTTGCCTGGCGAAAAGGTCAAGGTGACCGAAGATGGTTTTGTGGAGGTTCGCGGCTATGCATGGTCTGGTGGTGGTCGTCGTATTGTTCGTGTAGACTTAACGGCTGATAAAGGTAAATCATGGCATGTTGCTACATTGGAACAAGAAAATGAACCCGATGGACGCCACTATGGTTGGTCATTGTGGACAGCACGCATTCCCGTCGATGCCAAACTCAAAGGTGAAGAAGTTGAAATTTGGTCAAAGGCTGTCGATTCAGCGTACAATGTCCAACCAGAATCATTTGCAAATATTTGGAATTTAAGAGGTGTCCTTTCGAATGCCTATCATCGTGTAAAGGTTTTGTTGAATTAATGTTGAATAGTGGAAATTACCTTTTTTATACCAGAATGTGAAATAAAAGTGCATCAAATGTGAAATATTTGTTTTTGGAATTTGAAAGAAGAAGACCAGGAGGGTCTGTAAGTACAAACTTTAGTTTTGGATTGGTATTTTATAAGATCTCCTGATTTATTATATGTGAGAAGACCCACTGGTTTCTTGCCTTCTAGGTCTCATATTGCAAAATAAAAGTGCATCAAATGTGAAAAATTTGTTTTTGAGATTTGAAAGAAGTCCACAAGGGGCTGCAAGAACAAACTTTACTTTAAATTGGTAATCCATAAGATCTCCTGTTTTATTAAATGTGAGAAGACCCAATGGTTCCTTGCCTTCTAAGACTTTTATTGGAATATATTCAGGTCCCATATGGTAATTTAAAAAGGGGTTCATGAAAGCTCTCGAAGATCAAACTGTATTATGACAAGATTTTTTGTATTATGACAAGATTTACTTGTTTCTTATTAGAATATATGCAGATCTTTTTTAGCTGTAATCTATGAACACATTGACACAATTGGTGTTAGATGAGAGCTTCATTAGATTAAATAAGGTAACTATCGCTGGTACCACCACTCCCATATTATAGAACCAAAATATTCATTATACCTCTTCAACTGACATTTCAAGACATTAATAGACCGTATGCAAGAGTCGCAATGTAAAATCCTTGTCAGTACACCGTCTTTGGAACTAGACAGAGTGCTTTCTATTAAAACCATTTGCACAAAAATATTTGTCAAAATTCGCTGAACAATCACCATACAATCCCTGCAATATTATCAAATAAACCTAATTTGAATGAGCTTGCCAAATCACTTCAAGAATATCCAAGCGCTATTTATAAAATATGAAAAAAAAAAAATCTTCTAAATCTCCCACTTACCAGATGGCGATGAATCTCTTGTTGCATGACCCGATGAATCTTTTGAACTGCCACTATCTTTGTCTTTTTCCTTTTCTTTCTCCTTTTCAGCTTTCGCCTCACGTTCCTTTTCTCGTTCTTTTTCCTTTTCTTTGTGGCCCTCATCGGATTTCTCTTTGTTTGAACTGGCAGCAGCAGCAGCTTTAATTTTCGATAATGGTACATCACCGTCATCTTTCACATTTTTCTCCTCATATTTTTCCACCATACCCTTAACTTTATTACTACCGCTACCACCTGTGGTGGTGGTAGCAACACCACTACTCGACCCAGCTGTTGAGGAACCACCCAACGATGATTTACGTTTAGTTTTATTTGTATTATCTTGGCTACTGGATTCGCTGGTATTTTCCGATTCCTCAGTTATGGAAACATTCGTATTGGATGTTGATAGCGAAGCAGATGTGTTGGCAGCAGCTGCTGCAGCTGATGTTGAAGCCGAACTTGATGTTGAATTTGTTGCCAATTTACTAATTGGCATTGATGATTCTCGATTGGTATCTTGCGGCTTTGGTGATGCTACCGAATTGGCTCGAACCAAACTGCGACCCTTACTGCGATTTGAGTTACGTGGTGACATCAACATTGAACAACCCAATTTACGGTGAAATTCACCATAAGGTTGCAAGAATTTCTTATATGCCTGCTTAACCAAATTGGTAATGCTCACGGTGACGGGGGCAAAGCCCAGACGCACCGCAATTGATTTCCACTGATTTTGAGCTGTGACACGATTATAACCTCCTCTCTTTTGGACAGCACGGAACAGGCGATATAGATCGACATCTTTGTTTTGAATAGAGGGTACCTTATTTAGTGGGGTACCACGATCATCCATATATTTATATAGCTGGGCGACAAACCGATCTTTCTCTTCACGCGGTTCATCATCTGAAGAATCGGAATCGATTTCATCCTCATTTTCACTTGATGTGTTGCTGAGGGCAAACAATGCATCTCTTTCCCAGTGAGGCGGCAGTACATCACTATCAAGATATTCCAAAGCAGCCTGTATGGCTGGACCATCTTGTTTAGCAGCAGCTTCGCGTGTGAAACCCGTTGCTTCCTTCTTCGGCACCGTATAATAACGACCATCTTTAAACGAACGTACCAAATATTCATCTTTAACACGAATCCGTACTGTGGCTTGTGCTGTTGGGGCAACCACCAATCCGGGAAACCATTTCTCTTTGTCTTTTTTCTTCGATTCCGTTTCGACACATACCACTTTGCCAATATGTTCTTCCTTCTCGTTGACAACCTCTTTAGCGTCACTTTCATCGTCTTCATCGGAACTGCCATCATTCATGTGACCACGTCTGCGTCCACGTCTACCACCTACCACTGGATTTCCAAAATGTTCTGGATGTGTCAGAGGTAATTGATCAAGGGTTTCACTTTCATTGAAATGGCGTCCACTTTTTAAACACAGGGCCGTACGTCGCAGTGTCGTTATGTCGCCATCGTCAAAGACTACCGTATACTGGGAACAATCTTGGATTTTAGTGACGGTTGCCTCAACATAATCTTTGCGATCCGGGTGGCGAACCTCAACAACAGCTCCCACCCTAAGCTGTCCAGGTGTTGCTTTAATATCATCATCGGATACGACCCCGGAGCCAAGGCCTTGTTTGTAGGCAACCTTGACTTTGATATTGCGAACAACTTCACTGACTTTGGCTTCACAAAAGGCGCCCTTGTATTTGGCACTGACTTCCGTGCCCACTTGTAAATAGGGAGGATCGTCCACTTGCTAAAATGTACAATTAACAGAATGCAATTATTTTAGTAATCAATTGATATCTTTAATAAGGTTATGTTTTTGCTATTGAATGAGCCGTTCACGTCCAAACCAGAAAATTAACCCGATGCTTTTCCTGTTGCTATTGCAACAAATGAATAGCATCGCTTTGGGAGGGCCAATTTGTCTGGAGTTTTCTTTTCTTACGTGCGTACGCACACACACACACTCACTCAAACAGGCAGAACTTACATGAGTCCCCCTGCCCCAATAACAAAAAAAAAAGAAAATTGAAAACTCACCTGCATTTTCTGAAGAAAATAACGTTCAAAACTTAAATTATCGCTTACAAACGCCACTTTTGCAACAATTTATTGAACATTTCCCCAAAAAAGTAAATATTTTCTTGGTGAAATTCGAAGAGTTTTAAGATTTTCTTTCAATATTGTTTTTACACTTTTCCACAGTTCCTTTTCTGCTGCTACTGCTGCTGTGCTGTGGTGTCTATCGTCGTTGGTTTGTCCGTGTAACTTTTTTCTACATACACACATACGTAAACTTATTGGTCGAAAGCAATCTTTTTGCGAAATATTTCATTAAGATTTTCCACTATTTCCTTGAAACTTTCCTTTATATTTGCATAATGCTATAGTTATCTGACCCATGTATCGAAAGGGAAAACTTCTGGATTTTGGCGCACACAAATAAAAGATTTTCTTTTCTTCTGAAAGGCACCAGCAAACGAAATACAGTTGACATTTGCGTCGTATGTTAGGTATCTATAAGTCGATAAGTAGACTCTTCGGAGTATGAGTAATCGATTACTCATATAACTCCGAAAAGTCTATTTAACGATTTGTAGATGTCTATTATACGAGACACAAATGCCAACTGTTGGTCTTTTACCGTACTGAAAAGAATTTATTAAATTTTACTATTTTTCGATACCATAAAGGAACATTTTTATTGCGGTTCTTTTAGAAAAAATATCGTTTATTTGTATTTAAAATATCTGTTAGATTTTAAGTCGATGAGACTTCATAAATCCTTTCCGGCTGGATTTACTGAGGTGAAGTACAAAATGCAACTCTGTATGTAGTGACTTAATCCAGCAGCAAAATTAATCAATATGGTTTCATTCGCCAATATAAACATTCCAACTGAATATTGGGACGACGTTAAATTTTGCGATGAAACCATGGTACAATTAATCAAGCTAGGCCATAGCAACTTATAATTTACAATTTTTTCATACTGTGGCTTGTTATGCAAAAGTCATATACCGAATGTGTGACTGTTTGTATAATGTTTTGAAAAATATAAAAAAATATATATCTGAAAATCGATTTTTTGAAGACGAATTTTACAACATTTGTAAGAAGAAATATATGATTTGTGAATGAATCAATATGTAAATCACATCACCAACTCGATTTTGAAAAAAAACCTAACATTCCATTCATTTTTCGCGTTTGTGGTAAAATGTTAAAAATATGTCAAATGAACAGAACGACTTGTTGCATTTGTACTGACATTATTGCCCATAAGGTAGAGTTGTATTTTCTCCTTTCTGACAAAAGCTACTCTACTGATTACAAATTTGTTAAGGTGGCTTGTTCCATCAAATCAAAATACATTTCAAAAACGTAGCAGCCAATCAGAAGTAGACATTCGTGTTTACCATTTTTACTCGGCCAAATTTCTCGAGTAAAAAGTTTATAAAGAGAAAGCCATTTTGTTTTGTTCTCTCTTAAATTTGATTCAATGTCTTACCAGTTTTGTGGGTTCAGGAACGGTTTTCGAGTAAAAAACTGCAAAACTTGTAAAATTAGAAGATTATTTTAGGTTCTGGAAGGAAACTAAGGTAGAGCAGCTACCAACTGATTACAATTTTTTCTTCTTCATGGTATAATTATACAAGGTAGTCTCATGTATTCATATGTTTCCAATTTTTTTATAAATTTGCATTTGACAACATTCAGCTTTCAAAATTTAAATGAAAATATGTTCCTTCGAAGTGTATGGTTCAATGGCAAAAATTGCTAAATAATTAATATTTACAAATATTTTGAATTTCCCTGTTGTTTCTGACATTACACAAATCCTTGCAATTTTTTTATATTTGACGTAACTAGGCTTTTTGGAGAGTTGATTTTTTAATAATACTTTTTTAATATGAATTAAGAATATAACATATTTTTCCTGCTTGGTCATGTATATATGCTAAAAAAATTATTTAAATGATTATTTAAAATGATGAATAATAAATAAAAAAAATTGTATTATTATTCTACGGATTGTTGTACAACATCATTCGCTATCAAATTTTTAATTATACCCTGCGTTTATGCTGTTATAAATAATATCTGTAGCTCGTGACTACAACTGTCAGTCAGTTCTATCCCATTTTCAATTAAAGTTTTTGTTTGCCAATGTAATGCCTAGTTTCTATAACAGAATTACCGTTAAATCGGGGGATGTTTCATTCCATACTGTTCTATTTGAACTCTCTTTCTCTCCCTGGCTCTCTTTCAAAATTGCCCCACATTTGTTTTGACATTTAGATTTTATGTTCTCATCACCAATGCGGCACACACACACACACAACCACACATCATCTAGTGTAGGCTGGCTGCTGTGATGAGTGCGACTGCTGCTGCTAACGCGCAGACACACTAACTAGAAACTAGAACACAATCGACATAAATATGTATGACGTAGTGATGCTGTTACAGCAAAGCCTTACCCCCCATAAAACCCTCATCCTTTATCAGATCTAAATGCAACTAAGCACGACGGACGACACGACGAATCTGACTAACGAACAAAGCAGCCTATGGTCTAGTCGTGAACTGCTCTGTTCTCTTTGCTAAGTAAAAGCTATTGGATGCTGAGCATGGTAGTTCAGTGTTAGTAAGAAAGGACGACAGGACTGTAACGGCAAGCTAAGATCTGCACGTATTATATACGGACCGAAAAGGAAGAGATATCAATTAAATGTATAATATTTAGATTAAAAAAAAATATGAAAAACTAATTTCATATTACAATGGCCACTACCGCAGCGAGCATAGAATGTGATAGTAAGTTAATGCTAAAATAACACACAAAATTTACACATATGATTTCGAAAATTATGTCTTTTTCTGTGTACACCATTTGTTGCCTGCAAAAAAACCCCGAAATTATTAACGTAGTAGTTGATTGATTTTTTATCCTTGAAAATGCCCAACTATTTGCAAGTGAATGAAACTGTGTGTATGTGTTTCCGTTCCTTTGCTGTGCTTGTGTGTGTATATATGCTATGCTGCGTTCTGTGTGTGTATCCTGTGTGCTTTCCAATTTTAGTAGGATGCTGGATGCTAAACGCCAGAGAGCGTATTTTTAATAGTTAGTATATACGAATCGTATAACTTTCTAGCTGCTGTGACTTTATACCAGTGGCATGACAGTGGTGGTGATGTTAAGTGATGTAACTGTTATGCTTCGGAACGTAAACAACAATAATAATAAACCGTTATACGAAAAACTGTTATTTACATTTAAACTGTTAGAAGTTTACATAGTAGCTGTGTAACAGGTTATGATTATTGACGAGTAAAAAACCACTATTTAAAATGTTGTTCAGCAATTGACCACACAAAATACTGCATTTAAAAAAAACGAAAAACTTTATAATAAAAAAATATACTAGACAAATAGACCACTATGTCATCATACAAATTGTTATGAAACCCTATTCTGATTGGAAAATGACTTTAAAGTGGGTTTCAATTGTCCTTCGCATATATGTCAAATAAATCCTCATAAAGTAGTAAGTACAAGGAGTTTTAAGTCCGCTCTATGGGGAATGAGGGTGTTGACAGGTACAATACAATGGAATTCTCCCAATAGAGTCAGTACGTTCAACACGTACTCGCAAGCAAAATCTTTACTAATAAAAGAGTAAAGTGATTGGTTGACTGACTTAACGATTCATCAACGCCCAGACGAAACGGCTAAAGCTAGAATCTTGAAATGTTGGGTGAGGGTCATTATTGGTCCAAAGGTGACAGATAATGCTGGGTTTTTGGAAATTCACACTAGAACGGTACGAAAAATACTAAATTTACCATTTGTATTTGGCGAACCCGAGCTAGAACTTTTAAATTTTGAATGAGGGTTACTGATGGAGTGAAGAAAAGATATATCAAAGGGTTTTTTTGACATTCGAACTATAAGTATGCGAAAAGTACTAAAATGTACTAAATTTGGTACAATTTCGTAGCATGGGTTGGGAAGTAGGGTCGATATAAGGAGGTGGTTTTGAAATCATGTACTCATGTATACGAAAAGTACTATATGGTAATATATTTGGTACAATTTTTAATTGGAAGTACAAAATGGAGCTGGAGTATGAAAATTTTAAATTAACATTACCGCCAGAGAGTAGAAATACATAGAATACGTACCTACGAGTTTTGGAATTTTTGTACTTATGTGTACGAAAAGTGCGAAATCATACTATAATTGGTACAGTTTTGATTTGGTTGAACCAATAGAGCTGGGATCCTGAAATTTGGTGTAAGGATCATTGTTGGGGTGTAGAATTATGATATGTAGGGACAATTCGTAATAATGTGTATTATATGGTACTAAATTTGGATTTGGGTGAACCGTTAGAGCTAGAATCTTGACATTTGGAGTTAGGATCAATGTTGGCTTAGATTTGAGCTATTTAGGAAGTTTTCGAAATTTCTACTAATGTGAACTAAATTTTGTGCAATTTAACTTTTGAGTTAACCGATGTATGAAGTTTTGGAAATCTGTACTAAACGGTACCAAATGCGGATTTGGGTGAACCAATAGAGCTAGAAATTTGGTGTTAGGATCATTGTTGGGGTGTAGAATTATGATATGTAGGGACAATTCGTAATAATGTGTATCAGGGATGCAAAAGTTGGCACAATTGTACTAATTTTAGCACTATTTGGAAGTCAAAAGTACAATAGCACCCCAATGACTTATTTATCACTATTTCTAATTTGTATCAAATTATTTTTACTTAAAAAAAATTGTAAATTGTAAACAAATTACAGGCCGCATTTTTGATTCGAATTGTATGAAATTTGGCCCAGCTCATTTATTTGGCCCAAGGACGAACCTTATTGAAATTGGGAAAATCGGTTCAGATTTAGATATAGCTCACATATATATTTTCGACAGATTTAATGTAAATGGTGGTCTTTCGATTTACACAAAATTTGGCATAGCGTACTGAATTGAGTCTGGAATGACGTGTTAATTTTCGTGAAAATCGGTTCAGATTTAGATGTAGCTCCCATATATATTTTCGCCCGATTTAATTTTTATTTGACATAGGTACATGTGTCAAGTTTTGCTGAAATCAGTTGGGATATATATAGCTCCCGATTTTAAATAAATGGAGCACCAAAGACTCAATGTTAGGCAGATTCACACAAAATTTTGTACAACGTACTTAAGATAGTATAGCCAAACGTGTGTCAAGTTTTGTTGGAATCCGTCCAGATTTAAAGTAGAACCCAAGGATCCAAAATATATCCATTAGGAACAAAACATGCATAAATTAGTCTAACCTAACCTGTAACAAGTTTCGTTGAAGTCGGTTCATATTTGTATATAGCTTCCATTTCTATTTTCATCCGATTTTAAGTAAATGTTGCACCAAACGCTTCATGTTTTTTCAGAATAGAATGACGTAATTGCGTGTAGAAGTACAGATGTAGCCCATATATATTTCTGACTGACTTCGTGTTAATTGGGCTCCAAATATTCCACGGGTGCCCGATTGATATTTGCTTTAAGGGGACCCCCCATTCTCGGGGTCAAAATTTTTGTTGATACAATTCGAATCTACACTGATTAAAGAATGTCTCTACAAAATTTCAAGTGAAAATCTCAAGAACTCTTGAAGATATAGCCGATTTATTGTGTCAGCATCAAGTGACGGCTGAAGGGCTTCTCAAACTTTAAACGCGTTTTTCTCTAAACATTTTTTTGCGAATGGCGGGCACGATAACTCAAAAACTAATAATCCAATTGGTTCCAAATTTTGCAATTTGAATTAGTGTAGATTCGAATTAAATCAAAAAAAAAAAATTGACCCCGAGAATGGGGGGGGTCCCCTTAATGACCCTTCTGTTAAGATGCATCTTTTTGATATACCCATAGTGGTGAAGGGTATCATATAGTCGGCCCCGTCCGACTTTCCTTACTGGTTTATGTATGTTTTTATTAATTGATAGTAACAATATTTTTTTTAATGTATAAAAAGTACAATCGGATTGAAAAAAGTACACATTTTATTGAAAGCCAGTACAATTTGAATAATTTCATTTCGCATCCCTGATGTGTATTATATGGTACCAAATTTGGATTTGGGTGAACTGTTAGAGCTAGAATCTTGACATTTGGAGTTAGGATCAATGTTTGGGGTAGATTTGAGCTATATAGGAAGTTTTGGAAATTTCTACTAATGTGAACTAAACTTTGTGCAATTTAACTTTTGAGTTAACCGATGTATGAAGTTTTGGAAATCTGTACTAAATGGTACCAAATGCGGATTTGGGGGAACCAATAGAGCTGGAATCTTGAAATTTGATGTTGCGATCACTGCTGGGGTGTAGGATTGGGCTTTGTATAAAGTTTTGGGAAATTCGTACTAATATGTACTAAATTTGGTACAAATTAAATTTTGGGTGAACCAATACAGCTGGAATCCTGAAATTTTGATTTATGGCATGTTCTGAAGGACATTCGAACAACATTCCGAATTACGAACCAGAATTAACCCGTTCATACAACACTATTCTAAATTCATGTCATCAGAGTTTATTTCTTCAAACTTTTTGTTTCTGGTTTTACACCAAAATTGTAACATATTTGCATAAATCACATATGAATCGAAATAGAAAAAATAATTATCTTTCTCCTGACTATAGTATGAACCCATATCTATTTACTTTTAATTCATGTTTTCCATTTTTTTCTAAAAATATTGCTATTTTAAATACATTTTTCAAATGTCACATATAAAAAATTGAATAATTTTTGTTTGCCCACATTTGTTTCTTGTTTTGTACGCTAATTAGAACCAAAGGGAAAGAAAAGCATATTGCATTCTACCGTCTACTAGGCTGGCCATTATATTTTTACCATCACGCAGGAATATCTGAAAAAGAAAATATTTAGCAAGAATTTAATGAAATAATACAAGAAAAAAACCGCCAATACCACCATCGTTTGTACCTTTTGCTATATTTTGTTTTTCTTTGTTTTGTTCAACGAACATCTGACCGAATTGCCAATTCTCTTTTGGTTACTGATTATCACTATTACCGATACAGAGGTGGGACTCTTACTTGGAACCCCTGAAAAATTAGGATCGCTTAAATTTATTAACTTAGTACTTAATAATAGAAAAATTAGAAAAAGAAAATACTTTCTATATTACAGTAAAGGGATAAATATAGTTTAGAAGATGTCGATCTCTGGAAAGCTGCCATAGTCTCAATAAAATTCTAAAAAAAGAGTGTAGTTCAAATGATGTTGAGGCAGGAGCATTTGTAAGATAAAGTTAAATACATGTATTCATTGTACAATAATACAAGGTAGGGGCAGCTTGAGGTGAATAACAAAAAAGCAACTATGCACGTGTGGCTTCTTCTGCCAAAAATAAAATAAACATTCGCAACAAGTGTTTGTGTTTATTTGACATTTTTTCAACACAAAACTAAAAACGCGAAAAATTAAAAACATTATTTTCATTTCAATTAAATTTGAATATATTCAATTTAATTTGAATTTATTTGACATTGTATTCAAAACAATACACAATGGAACAAGCCACCTTGAGAAAAACTTGTAATCAGTTGGTAGCTGTGCCCTACTTTTTAATTATTATACCATGGGCACACGTAACAATTGCTCGAATAATTGCAAACATTTTTTATAGATCTTTTGTGATGTAGGTGATTTTTTTACATTCCAAGCGATCACGGCATTGCAGAAACTTTTCCATGTTTGTAGTTTTTCTTTTCAAATTACAAACAAATATCCTTGGCACCACTTCATAATTTTTTATGTATACTAAAAGGGTTGAGGTTATAGACAGCTCTGCATTATCTCCGACCTCAATGTCAATAAGACAGTTGTTAAGTAGCTCGTAAACAGCACATATTTATGGGCTTTTATTTTAAATAAGTTTTTTCCAACTTTTGGTAAATATAAACATTTGGACATTGACAGTCCAATAGCCTTTTTTAATTTTATTATGACATTACTAAGATCACAAAGACGAGCCGAAAAGCTCGGTGGCCCTTCAATAAAAATAATAGATCGGTAAAAAATGTCTAGCAATTTTATTTGAAAAAATAAAAAAATGACAAGCGATATAAAATGCTGCATTTTATTGTAGCATATACGACGTTATAAGGTCACACTACAGAGTTCTATTGTATTTTTCTTAATTTTTTGTACATCCTCTCAGATTACTATCAAATTAGTGACGATGACTTAGACGATTGTGAAGATTTACCCGATGATTGTTTGTTGGAAGAAGCCGATATAGGAAATGCCACAACATCCCAATCTTCGCAAAATAATACACATACCCGTGGACCCTATGAACGAGCCTGGACAACAGACGCCACACGAGCATTAATTCACATACGAGGTCCGATGGAACATCGTTTTACCGAAGGACGACAAAAACGTACCGCTCTATGGTTGCACTGTACACGACAATTGCAGAAAATGGGGTTTCGTTATAGTGCCGGTAAAGTCCAAAAGAAATGGCACAACATTCTGATTACCTACAATAAGAATTTGAGTAAAAAATTCACATCCGGTTATGTTCATTGGGAGTTTTTCGAAGAAATGTATAAATATTTACAAGGTAAAAAGGCGGATTTCAATGAGAGCTCTTTTGGTAGCAAGAGACATCAGCAACAACAACAACAACAGCAGCAACAAACTCTTCAAGCAATTACCACAGGAGGTCCAACAACATCCACTTTAAATGTTGAGGGTACAACAAACAACTCATTTTCAAATGCCAATTCTGAAACGGCAATAATACAGCCACACGTGGAACTAGATTCGAAATCAAATGATGATTTCGATGAAGAGGATAGCAATTCATTGTCAGATCTGAAGAAACCAAAATTAGAAGTAAAAGACGAATCAGACAGTCCCGAAATGTATCCCATAGAAATAAATGATACAAATAATTTAATAAATAATAAAGTAGATTATCGCAGAGAGAATATGATGCAAAAATTTGTGGTATCTGGCGGCGATGAAAACGCCCGAATGGATACGCAATCCTGGTGGCAGGATTATTTTGATCGTAAACTACAAGTTGAACGTGAAAAAATCGAAATGCAAAAAGAAATGCATCGCGAACTGATGCAATTCAATAAAATGTCTCTACTGCAACAGGAAAAAATCGAACGTATAAAAATTGAGGCCATCAATAATCTAACAAGTACTCTGCAAAAATTAGTTGAAGTTAAATATAAGAAGCTATAAACTTGTAAAGTTGAAATTTGCTGTAAGAATTTTTAGAATAAACACAAAATTAGAAACAAGCGAAAAGGTTTTTATTTATTCCCAATAACATAAGCTGGATATGGCTGGGATATGCCAACAATATAATAAACTGCAGACCCTCACTTGACGTAAGTGCGAACATTTCCAACTATTTAGCCACCACCACCAACTTCTTCCGGGAGCGCAATCTAAAATTATCTACTGGAAAGTCTACTGTAAGTCAATTTTGAACTTGACATTTCCATTGAAGGTAGGCGCATCCCCACAGTGCATAATCCGGGAATACTTGGGCAAGGATAAAGAAACGTTGGTAGCGACATACAAGGCCATAGGACATTCAATCCTTAATTATGCTGCCCCGTTTATTCCGAGGCACAATGGATATCCTTGCAAACAGCAGTAAATAATGCACTCCGAATTGCAACCGGATGAGTCCAGATGACGAGCGTCGATCACCTACATGAGGTATCCTCAGGATGCTGTCAGTAAATCATCATAACGTGTTGTTGACTATACAGTTCCTGCTGGCATGCTATCTGCTGTATATTCCCAACTATCACACAGTCTTGGCGTATCGAAAGCAAATTGTGTCGGGTGTTCCCGACGACAACACCCAAGCAAGTACTGCATTGACAACATATACTTGTGTCGATGGACGGGTAAGATCTACGTCTCCTCATTAAAATAGTCCACTGGAGTCATGAAGAAACACCATGTTGCAATTATCAGGGTAGCATTCTGGCAGGTCTGGATATTCTTCCACGGCGTATCACATACATTCGCAAACCACACTGGCGCCGCATAGGTTACCACTGACCGCCGTCTAGCGACTTGAGCGCATTGTTCCTACTTCTAAGCTTATCGCATAAAGCAGTGGCTTGCGCAGACGACTTGAAAAGTCCATCGAACTTTAATCCCAGTATCTTAGAGTAGTTAGTGGTCGGAATCAGTTCTCCATCGACCATTTTGTTCAGCGTGAGCTTCATTTTCGCCGTCCATGTGATGAAAAGTGTGTCTGTAGATTTTGTGGCGGATATTTTCATATTTACGAGATCAACTATATAGAAGTTTAAACTCTCACATATGTCATCAATAATGGGAACCGGCGGCATGATCGTACAAATCTCCGCATACCATATGATCTCTTTGCCGTCCGGTGTTTGTGGAATATCAGAAAGGTAGAGGTTAAACAGTTCCGGAGAAATTACCCTCCTTGAGGAACTCCCTGTTTCACTTTACGGGGTTTAGACTTTCTGTTTCTGAATTCACACATATATTTGATTATCCAACGTTTCAAACACGATCGGAGATTTGTCTTCACTATATCCTCGAACAGCTTGGCATGGTTGACGGTTCGATAGGTCAAGTGCCAGGCTTCAGGATGTATGTGGGTGGCCAACGACAAGTTGAGAACAGATGTTAAATACTCAACTCCGGATTCATTCAGTTCCTTAAACATTATCATGGATATTCCGTCCGGGCCCAACGCTTTGGATGACTTAGCGTTTTTGAGGACATCTGCAATGTCCTGCTTCGTGAATTGTGGTGGTACCTCTTCGGCTCGGAGTGCCCTTATGCGACGTAGTACACTCCTTTTTGCCCCGTCACTCTCGGGGTGCTCAATCAAATCGAGCACTTCTTCAGGTGTGTCACAGTTACGTAGTTAAATGTCACTGCCGTTCTGTCATCCTTCCTTCCAGTATTAACTTAACCGTTACCCACAATTTACTTGTTCTTACTTGACAATGTTGCATTGCTTCAGAGGATCTCGCCACTTTTTGTGCTCGCATACTAGTCTGTTGTTTTCAAGGGTAAGTTCACACCACAATAGGGTCTTCAAGGGTCGTACGAAGGAGCTAATCACGCTCATTAGCCAATACAGTTGCCTTTTCAGGGAAGCTTGGTTTTACTTTGTGTATTCGACCAGCAGGTATGAAGGGAGCGAAAGTAACACTGCTTTTTCAGAAATTTTTCTCAGCTTCCCGAGGATATGAGGGAATGGGCAACTCTCTGCTGTGATCGGAGCCTCAATGACTAAATATGATAAAAATTTCAAAACTATCCGCAACCGCGCCATAAACTACACTTGTTGCCTTGATTATTGCGAGTTCTATGTGTATTTAGTATGTGCTCTCCGACGAATATTTCGAGGTATTGCAATAAAATTACAAATTTTATATACACTCCACCTTACGGTAGATGATAAAGCCTCTAGTGAACATAATTAGGAACAATTAAACTAGTTCCGTTTCTTGTAATGGTTCTATTCTCGAAACCTATCAGCTGATTACATACAACATTTTCCATACATACCTCTTTCTAAACATGGCGTTATGTGTCGCACTTCATACGTAAACAGATGGGTGTCTTTCGTTTTTGTTTTGATATGGATTTTATCGTTATTCACTTCTGTCTTCAGCTATTCGCAGCGTGGTTAAATGCCCTTAACGCAGAACGAACGAATTGGTTGGAATTTATTTTGTTTGGATAAAAGGAACAACTTGGGAGCAACGGTAACCAAAATTCCAAAGCATATCCCTTTTACAACAATTCGAAACAATTTTATAATTTAAAAATATTTTGAAATGGATTTAAAAATATTGGAACTATTTAGTGGTATTGGAGGAATGCATTATGCCTTTGAGTGTAAGTAACCTGTTCAGTTCAGACAAAGGATATATTGAATTAAACAATCCATATTTTTTAGACTCTCAACTTAAGGGTGAAGTTTGTTCAGCAATGGACATAAATACGGTGGCGAATACTGTATATGCCCACAATCATCCGTCGACTCCAGTGCTGAATAACAATATACAAAAACTCAGTGCGAAAACTTTGGACAAATTACAAATCAATACGATATTAATGTCTCCGCCATGTCAGCCGCATACACGTGTTGGTCAGAAACGTGATATCGAAGACAATCGTTCGGATGCTTTAAATCACATCTGTGAGTTGTTACCCATGTGCCCCTCTGTACAATATATCCTTATGGAAAATGTCAAAGGATTTGAAGAATCAATGGCCAGAGCGAAATACGTTGAAGCATTGGAAAAATCCGGTTTCTATTATCGAGAATTTATTTTAACGCCCACACAAATGGGTATACCCAATACACGGCATCGTTATTATTGCATAGCAAGAAAAGGCAATGATTTCCAATTTAGTGGTGGGCAAATTTTGACAACACTACCAGTCGATAATGCAAATTTTGAAACCAAAACACTGCCATCATTGTTGGAACCACCTTCATCCGATGAATTTCTGTTGGAACAAAAAATTTTAAAACGGCGAGTGTGGTTATTGGATATTGTCACAAATGAAGCAACAAATACAATGTGTTTTACCAAGGCCTATACCCATTATTGTGAGGGAACTGGTTCGGTGTATTGTCCACTGTCATTGGAAGAAATGCAAGAAATTTTTGGCAAATTGAAACTAATGGACGAAACTCAAAGCAGCTGTGCTGAAGAGCCAACATATTTGGAATTATTACATAAATTAAAATTACGTTATTTTACACCACGTGAAGTCTCCCGATTAATGTGTTTCCCCGACTCGTTTCAATTTCCACCCGAGACAACAAATCGTCAAAAATATCGTTTACTAGGAAATAGTATAAATGTACAAGTTGTAGGTGAATTAATAAAGTTGATGTGCAAAGTGTGATTGATGTATATACATATATTTTTTTTTTGTATTAAAAAAAAGAAATTTTGAGAAAAATTTTAAATTAATCGCTATAAAACATTGGTGATTAAAGGAGTTGACAATACTTGTTATAAGTTGAAAAGTATAAATGCGCACTATGTTTCGTACGCCGATGGCTGTACGATTATTTCGTCCGGAGCTAACATTGCCTTCCGAGAAGCACAATCTACATTTATCCACTGCAAAGTCTACTGTGTCATTTTTCACTTCAAGATGTGTCCAGATGACGAGCGTCGATCACTTACATGAGGAGACTAGGATGGAGTCAGTCAAGCAACATAATGTGTTCTAGACTATACAGTTCCTGCTGGCATACTATCATCCCAACCATCACACAGTAATGGCAGATCCACCTCTGCGGGACATCCGTCAGGATTTCAGGCGCTATCGTGACGACATCCAAGACATCATACCAACGGACGTCAACAGATTGTCTATGAAATTCGTGCATCAACTGGCGGTCCGAAGCCATAAATAGATGCAGATGCCACAAAGTCCTACTACAACATCTACCTGCAATTTTGCAGAGTGAGAGTCTTCTTCCTTGGCAAACCAGTTTTATTCTGGCACAACTAAGGTCCGGATACAGCAATGTTTTCAATTCGTATCGAGAGCGCATTGTCCTCGGAACCCTAAAAAGGTGTCCCTCCTTCCAGCAAAGCCCTCACGACACACACCATCTATTCAATTTTCCGTCCGAGCCTAGAAGGCTATTGCCTATAGACTTATGGCTAAAGCCAATAGAGGTGGCACAGTTTTTCCGGGTACCCTCTTCAAATCCGAATGATATATATATAATATATATATATATATATATATATTCGTCCGATTTAATGTAAATGGTGTACTAAAATCCCTGTATATCCTTCGATTTAAACGAAATTTGACACAGCGTACTCATTAAAGTCTAGAATGATGTGTGTTATATTTTCGTCCGATTTTATGTAAATGGAGTACCAAATTCCCTATATATCTTTCGATTTCCTCGAAATTTGGCATAGCGTACTGAATTAAGTTTAGAATGATGTGTGCAAAGTTTCGTAAAAATCGGTTCCGATTTAGATATAGGTCGATTTGCACGAAATTTGGCAAATAATCAAAGGGTGTCTGATTGAGATTAAATTTTAAACGGTGCAGCACACCGAACAGCGTGTGTTGCAGTTATAGATAACAAACTAAAATATAGATAAAGATTACATATTTTAGATTACATATATTAGTAACGGGTATCATATAGACGGCCCAGTTCGACTTTACTACTTTTCTTACTGGTGGATAATCGGTTCAGATATATCTTCCTCACATACGTATATTCCTCCGACTTAGTCGGATTTATACCAAAGTACGCACAGGTGGCCTTCTTGAGCTTAGAGAGGAAAAGCTTTTGTTTATATCGTTTTCGATTTGAATATAACATCCATGTATATAGAAAAGGGATACAAACATGGTGTAATTATTACAAGGTAGGACATAGCTACCATCCGATTACAATGATATAAAGGTGGGCGAGAGCCTCGGAGGTAATGGACGAGGTGTGCCTTTTATCTCAAAATTGGTGAGATGGAATGAAATAATCAATTTCCCTTCTCCATTGAAAAAATATAGCTTAAACATCATACCTACCAAACAGTCAGAGCCATTTGCTATTTGGCATTTGACATCGATCGCTTCCAGTTCTACCTTATCCTCATATAAACGGCAGTACTTTACTCCATTGTTGTCCCAATTAAGTGTGAGATTTTGATAACCAAAAAGCGCCAACTGGCGATCGACATATATTATATAATCAACGGTTCTCGGTAATTTGTTTCGTATGGAAAGCCATTGCCAACGTCACCAGTTGTTGTTAGTCGCTCCCAGAGATGGTCCGTCAGAAACAGTGACATAAATGACATACATTTCCGACGTATAATACATACGTCAGAAACGTCGGAAACCCACACAAAACCGTTAGGTTTTTGACAAGTTAGCTATTCCTATTAATCAATTCGAAAATTACGCATGCTTGACCCAAATCCATATAAAATGTCAAAATTTTCTTCTCAAAAAAGTTTAGAATTTTTTATCAGCTCTAGTAAGGAATAGTCAGATGTACGTAAAAATAATATATACATATGTATATATTCTTGAAAATAACTGTTTATGTCCTGATTTATATTAGGCGAGTTTACTTGCGGCAATTTTTATCGTTCTCTTTTGAACTTGCTCCATGCGTCTATACAAGGCAATTCGGTTTCCAAAAAAATTTTTTATTTGTTGTTTTTTTTCACATTTAAATATATATAAAATGTCAACAAATACGAAATACACAAAACGAATTGCCAGAAAATTGTCGGTACGAGCAATTTTTTTCCATTTCTATTCCCCTTGCCCCTCTCTCCAACAAACAAAGACTTGCCGCAAGTAAACTCGCCTAATCTAAATCAAGACTATGGTAATAATATTGAAATAAATGACGTTTACTACATTTATTACATTTTATACAGGTATATGACGTTTTCGACGTTTACAACTTTTTGACAGTCGAAAACCTAAAAATTCATCACACGGACCATCCCTGGTCGCTCCCTACTTTTTTGCGTATGTAGACAACAAAGTTCAAATGTACTTACCGAATTTCGGAGGCCCGTATCACAAGAAGAATAAACTTATTGGATAAGAAGAAGGAAAATAGGAGGAACCCACAACGAAACTGTAGTGAAACATATATTTATATCGTTGTAATCAAGGCAATTTGTCGTAAAAATTTCAAAACGATGCGGGACCGGCTCCTTAACCAGACATCTTCCTTTAATATTTGTTTTTATCCTCAGCCTTAATAGCCTCACTAAAAAGGTGGAGAGCCCGACAGTATTTGTTGTAGTACTATCTGATTCTGGAAAAATTAGTTTTTTTAAGTCCACTCATAGCGACCAACTTCACCCGTTCCTTGACCTCGCTATAAGCAATATTGACTGTATCTCATAATTTCACTCAAAATACATAATTTTTACTCAAAACAAACCTTTTCACTCATTTTCAAATTTTTTGTTATTATTTTGTGGTTTGTTGTGATCGCTACAAACGTAAACAATCCTTGTCTTTTCCCTTTCCACTTTCTCAAACTTAATTGTTTTTCCAATTTCCTTTTATGCTTTCCATTTATCCAATTTGACAATTGTCAAAGAAGTGTCATCACATTTTTTGTCCATACCTTCTTTTTTTCAAATTCCTTTCGTCCTCATTTCTTCGAAATACTGAAAATTGTATACGGAGGAAAATTTTTCGCAGACAGGGTCACAAAATTTTTTTTCTCAATGAAAAACGGCAAAAATGCAATGATTTTTCGTTTTAAATCGTTTAAAAATATCGAAATATAACTGAAAACGAATCGAGTGTTGTGAAAATTGTAAAAATTTACAGAGAATATAGGAGGTGATGCAAATGTGGTATACCCATTTGTTTTTAGATTGCCAATTTTTTATTTTTTATCCGATTAAATTGAAAATTTACACTTAACATGCTACATGTGTTGCCTTTCCATGTATCAATTTGAAAATAATATTATTCTAACAATTTAAGAGATATTTGAGAAAATATTTGAAATCCCATAAAAACTGATTTTAAAAAAAGTGTAGGTAATGTGGTATACCACATGATGTTAATGTGGTATAGTATAATTTTCACTTCCAATTGATATCTTATATAATTTATTGTTTTTAATAAATGCGAATTAGATCGAGATTTATGCCTGTTAAGATTTTTAACGGATACGTTGAGTGCAACTTTATATAATAATGTCTACACATGGCAATATTTAATTTTTGTATGGAGAAGTAGTTAAAACTCATAGCCTTTGTTTTTCATCCTTGTGATTCATGGTAGACTCTCGTAGAGTACAAATGTTTCACATAGTAATGAGATTTTGTCTAGTGCTGGCCTTTTTTCATGCAGAATCAAGGTATACCACATTACCTACACTTGTGTTTACTGAAGAAATGTCTAGTTTTTTTTCCAAATTGCTGATTATGTGGTGCAATCGCGCATATTATTTGATTTTTAGTTCATACTGATTATTTTAATGCTTTAGTAATAACGATTAAAGTACATCCGTGAAACAAAAAATTATTTTTAAACTTCAACCGAAAAAAAGTCAATTTCATGAAAAATTTTATTTTTGGTACTGATTCTCAACGTGATTTAAATAAATTAAACAGGTCATTGCTATCTTATTTTTTTGAGAACAGCAAACTATAGAACATGTTTCAGTTATTCTAAAATTTTCAGTTTACAAAAAAAGTGACTATACCACATTACCAACCTATACCACATTTGCATCACTTCCACTAATAAAAAATTAAAAGGAAAAAATTAGTGGAAAAAATTTAAGGTGGAGTTCAGTGTTGTAATATTTAATGTAAAAAAACCAATAATGGTCCCTTTCAAATAAAATATTTAAATATACATAAATTCTTAGTTAAATTTCCCAGTGAAGAAAGAATTTCAATGAAGTTTTATAATGAAACCTTTTTAAAAAGAAAAAAATCTGTAAAAAAAATTATATTAGATATACAAAGGCTCATAGAAGAAAAGAATGACGTTATACATGGTGTTGCCAGATTTAAATATTCGACACGGTTGACATTTCATATTTTCGCCAAATTGCCAGATTGATTGATATTAGTTGAACGTGATTTTACGAACAAAACAACAAAATAAAATTGAAGAAAAACATTGGTTTTGGATTTTGTTTTGACCGGTATTCACGTAAACAAAATATTCCAATTAGATATTCTCTCCCTCTCTCGCGCGAGAGAATATTTTGTTTATTTCTTTTATTTGACATTCTCATTATTTTTTTCCTTTTCAATTGGAATTTTCTTTTAATCTGACAATATGGTTTTAAGATTTGCTATTAGTGTAAGTTATTTGTTTGGATCTTAAAGTTTTTGAGGCGGTATCAGAAAGTAACTTGTACG